CCCAGCCAATATGGTGAAACCCCATCTCTACTAAAAATACAAAAATTAGCCAGGTGTGATGGCAGAAACCTATCTATAGTCCCAGTTACTTGGGAGGCTGAGGCAGAAGAATTGCTTGAAATAGGGAGGTGGAGGTTGCAGTGAGCTGAGATTATGCCACTGCACTCCAGCCTGGGTGACAGAGCGAGACTCCATCTCAAAAAATAAAAAAGAACAGTTAGAGTAGAGAGTATTTTTTTTTTTTTGAGACAGAGTTTCGCTCTTGTTACCCAGACTGGAGTGCAATGGCGCGATCTCGGCTCACTGCAACCTCCACCTCCTGGGTTCAGGCAATTCTCCTGCCTCAGCCTCCTGAGTAGCTGGGACTACAGGCACGCGCCACCATGCCCAGCTAATTTTTTGTATTTTTAGTAGAGACGGGGTTTCACCAGGATGGTCTCGATCTCTTGACCTCGTGATCCACCCGCCTCGGCTCCCAAAGTGCTGGGATTACAGGCTTGAGCCACCGTGCCCAACCCCTTAGAGTAGAGAGTTTAATCAAAACAGTACAATTTATCCCACCAGTGGCCAAGTCTACAACATTGAATTTAACCCTCCCACAACTGTGGGCATTGATGATTGACTGGGTAGCCTCTCATTCAGCATGAGGATGATAAACCAGAGATGGTTATCAAGAAACTAAAGGCTTACGAAGCCCAAACAAAGCCAGTCTTGGAATATTACCAGAAAAAAGGGGTATTGGAAACATTCTCCAGAATGGAAACCAAGAAGATTTGGCCCTTTGTATATGCTTTCCTACTAAAGTTGCACAAACAAGCCAGAGAGCTCTTCAGTTACTCCATGAGGAGAAACACCTATAACAAGTAAGATGAGTAAACCTCCTAGTCCTTGCATTTAGAAGCTGCTTTTCCTAAGACTTCCAGTATGTATGAATTATTTGAAAATTATATTACTTTTATTTCTATTAATTTATTCTGGATACTAAGGAAGTGTCATATGAGACAGATACTAAGACCCATCTTTTGAAATCATCTAGTGTGTTTTATCCAGTTATTTTCAAAAACATCAGACATGTTTAAACTTTTAAAACATGTATTAGAGCAAAACTAAAAGAGAAACTAGTAGTAATTTAACTTTTTGATTAGTAAGAAAAAATAGTTGATAAAATTCCCAGAAAAAAAAAAATTACATGCCATTTGAGGAAAATATCTCATCAGAAATTTTTGCAAGGGCCAAGCAGGGTGACTCATGCCTATAATCTCAGCACTTTGGGAGGCCAAGGTGGGTGGACTGCTTGAGGTCAGGAGTTCAAGACCACCCTGGTCAACATAGCAAAACCCCATCTCTACTAAAAATACAAAAATTAGCTGGGCATGGTGGCATGCGCCTGTAATCCCAGCTACTCAGAAGGCTGAGGCAGGAGAATCGCTTGAACCCAGGAGGCAGAGGTTGTAGTAGGCCGAGACTGCGTCACTGCACTCTAGAGGCTGGGTGACAGAGTGAAGCACTATCTCAAAAAAAGAAAAAGAAAAAAAAGAAAGAAAGAAATTTTGGCACAGATTGATGCCAAAAAAGTCATTTTTAGTATTGTGGAACATGGTGAGACACTATATAAAATTCCAGAAAAAAAGCAATTGGGGCCAGGTGCAGTGGTTCATGCCTGTAATCCCAGCACTTTGGGAGGCCGAGGCAGGCAGATCACAAGGTCAGGAGATTGAGACCACCCTGGCCAACATGGTGAAACCCCATCTCTACAAAAAAATACAAAAAAATTAGCTGAGTGTGGTGGCGCACACCTGTAGTCCCAGCTACTTGGGAGGCTGAGACAGGAGAATTGCTTGAACCCAGGAGGTGGAGACTGCAGCGAGCTGAGATTGCACCACTGTACTCCAGCCTGGGTGACAGTGCCAGACACTGTCTCAAAAAAAAAAAAAAAAAAATTGGATTTACAGATTTGTTGTAAGATACAAATTCATTTCTGCCTTTATACTAAGAAATGTATAAGCTAACCATATACACTTTATTTTGGTGTTAAACATACTTTCAGTTTACTCAGAATTTTCAATTTGCTATAAAAATGTACCAATTAGCATAGATAAAAATATTACTTTAAGATCACTTGTTTTCTTTTGAAAATACATATGTACTGAGGGTTATGAGTTATATCAGAAATTGATGTTATAAGTTCTTGGGTAAGCACAAAGGTGAATGAATTTTCAACAAAATGTAATTAACATCTGTGTTTTCAGATGTTACTTAGGTTAAGAAATGTGTTTTAGGATCTACTTACCAGTTTCTCTTTTTGATGCAAATGTATGATCTGCCCTGATAAATAACAAGGTATACTACTCCCTTCCCAAAAAATAAAAGAAAAAGAGAAATCCATGGCATGATGTAAAGTAAGCACACTTTGTCATTAGTAAATAGATCAGATGTGTCTGGAGAATATTCTTTTGCCATAAATAGCAATCAATCATAATTAGTATACAGGTGTGCCGATAAAAAGAATTTATATGATAAGTCAACAAAGATAGGAAAGTAAGTGAATTTCCTGAAGGAGCTGTTTGTTCCTAATCAAAGAAATTGATACCTTGTTAGCATTCACTGACACCTTATCTTAAAGGGAAAGAACTTTACTGGTGTCATCTGACCAGGCATTTAAAAATTGGAATCTGGTGGTGCCTGGAAGTACAACACCACTTCCACTGTCACAGTAAAGTCCACCATCAGAAGACTGAAGGAACTGAAAGACCAGTAGATGCTCCTCTACTCTTTGAGACATCAATGGCCTATAATAATAAATGGGCTAATATATGTAACAACAAAAGTAACAAAAAAAATTGGAATCTAAAGTGATTCCTTAGTGGAGCAACAAGGATGGTAGCTGATGTACTGCGGTCTGTAGAAGTGGGGCAATATGAGAGGTGGAGGAAAAACCTGACTATGTCTTCTATGGCATGTTTACTCTTAATTTACTTGGTACTAAATCAAATGAAACAAGCCCTTGTACCAGCTGTTATTAATTGCCTTTAAAAATCTGTCCTATTTTTCTCCAGGTACTTAAAATACAAGTGCCAGTAAGTGGTTCTTATGTATTTTGGCGGGGGGGGGGGGGGGGGGGGGGGGGGATTTATTTTCCTTTTCTTCGGATATTTTAAAAATTCATTGATATGGCCAGGCACTTTGAGTGGATTTTCTGTTTTCCTTTATTTTGGGGGGGGTACCATGCCTTGTTACTTATCAGGGCAGATCATACATTTGCATCAAAAAGAAAAACTGGTAAGTAGATCCTAAAACACATTTCTTAACCTAAGTAACATCTGAAAACACAGATGTTAATTACATTTTGTTGAAAATTCATTCAACTTTCATGCTTATCCAAGAACTTATGGCCCAGTGTTTTGGGAGGCCAAGGAGGGCGGATCACGAGGAGATTGCCACCATCCTGGACAACATGTTAAAACCTTGTCTCTACTAAAAATGCAAAAATTAGCCAGGTATGGTGGCACATGCCTGTAATCCCAGCTACTCAGGAGGCTGAGGCACAAGAATCACTTGAATCCAGGAGGCAGAGGTTGCAGTGAGCTGAAACTGCACCACTGTACTCCAGGCTGGCAACCGAGTGAGACTCTATCTCAAAAAAAAAAAAAAAAAAAAAAAAAATCATCGATTTTTCAAGATGAACCAAGCAAGGTTTTAAAAAATAATTATAGTAAACACTTCATTCTATTTTTTTTAATTCCATCCCATCCCTGCCCAACCAGCCCTTCCTTCTTTAAAAAACTTTCTATAATGCTTTATTTGCATGTTAATATTATATGCTTTCTAAAAATGTTGTGAACTACCAAACTTATAAATTATCACTAGGTTATCAGGCATACATTAGTCTTTATCAGAATAAAATAAATTTCATTTTAAAAAAAACACTACCAGTATAGAAATTCTTGACTATGATTCACATTTACTGCTGATACTGTAATTTGTAACTCTTTTAGAATGTATATAGTTCTCATGTTTTAGGTAATAGGTAATACAATTTATTTTATTTTATTTTACTCTGTTTTATTTTGAGATGGAGTCTCGCTGTGTCACCCAGGCTAGAGTGTAGTAGCATGATCTCAGCTCACTGCAACCTTCGCCTCCCGGGTTCAAGCAATTGTCTTGCCTCTGCTTCTAGAGTAGCTGGGATTACAGGTGCACACTACCATGCCCAGCTATTTTTTTTTTTTTTTTTTTTGAGACGGAGTTTCGCTCTTGATACCCAGGCTGGAGTACAATGGCGCAATCTCGGCTCACTGCAACCTCCGCCTCCTGGGTTCAGGCAATTCTCCTGCCTCAGCCTCCTGAGTAGCTGGGATTACAGGCATGCGCCACCATGCCCAGCTAATTTTTTGTATTTTTAGTAGAGACGGGGTCTCACCATGTTGACCAAGATGGTCTCAAGCTCTTGACCTCATGATCCACCCGCCTCGGCCTCCTAAAGTGCTGGGATTACAGGCTTGAGCCACCGCGCCCGGCTTCAATTTTTATTATTTTTAGTAGAGATGGGCTTTCACCATGTTGGCCAGGCTGGTCTCGAACTCCTGACCTCAGGTGATTCACCCACCTCAGCCTCCTAAAAGTGCTGTGATTACAGGTGTGAGCCACCAAGCCCAACCTAAAGTTTAAATTTTCCTTAAAAAAATAAGTGTCCAAAGACCTAAATGTAAGGGCTGAAACGAAAAAGCTCTTAGAAGAAAATATACAAATAAATCTTCATGACTTCAGATTTGGCAATGGGGACCATGGGAGTGACTGCTAACAGGTACAGGGTTTCTTGGGGGGTAATGAAAATGTTCTAATATCGATTGTAGTGATGATTGTACAGCGTTGAAAACACAATAAAAACCACTGAATTGTACACTTTAGATGAGTGAATTGTATGTAGGATTTATATTTCAAAAGGTTATTTTAAAAATTCTATATCATAAGCAGCTTGATATAGCTAATAAGACACTCACCTCTCTCTCAAATTCATCCTCCTCTTCCAAAAGATCATACACCTGCTCTAAAAGCTGAACTCCCAGGCCCCGAATTACATCAGCTCTCAAGACTTCAACTAGTCTCCTGATCTTTTCAGAACCTGGCATGATAGCTAAAAGGAACAAAGACAAAGGGAAAAATAAACACTTTTACCACTACAGAAAGAACACCACAATTATTTTTAATTTTGTATTTTATTTTTTTCTAAGTGACAAGGTCTTACACTTTCATGGGGATGTCGTGCACTGTGACCATAGTTCACTATAGTCTCTAACTCCTGGGCTCAAGCAATCATCCTGCCTCAACCTCCCAAGTAGCCAGAACTACAGGAATGCACCACAACAACAAATTAATTCTTAAATTTTTTGTAGTGATGGGGTCTATGCTGTCCAGGTTGGTCTTGAACTCCTGGCCTCAAGCAATCCTCCCACCTCAGCCTCCAAAGCACTGAGATTACAGGCATGATTATACCACACCAGGTCTTTTCATTTTTGTATTTTATTATTTTATTTTTATTTCATTTCATTTGATTTTTTGAGGCAGGGTGTTACTCTGTCGCTCAGGCTGGAGTGCAGTGGTGTGCTCATGGCTCACTACAGTTTCGACCTCCTGGGCTCTATAAATCCTCCCAACTCAGCCTCCTGAGTAGCTGGGACTATAAGCATGAGCCACTTATCCCTGGCTAATTTTTGTAGACACAAGTTTTCATCATGTTGCCCAGGTCTCAAACTCCTGGGCTCAAGCAGTCTGCCCTCCTCGGCCTTCCAAAGTACAGGCATGAGCCACTGCACCCAGCAGGCCTGTTTTTTTAAAAAAATCTTGTTATACTGACAATCGTTTTCCCCTATGACAAGTTATTAATGACTTAAAATTTACATATGAGCTTAAGGTTTACTATCATCTCTTAAACCTAAAAATACCACAACTGTCTAACTTGAAGAAAAGTCACATGAAAAACCACAAACATTTATCTATTTACCTTTACGTTTAAAAATCAATTTTCATGCAACTTTTCAGGAATACCTCTGTTGCATAACAGAGGATATACATTTTATGGAGATATGCAAATAATTTTAAAAACATAAAAAGTTTACAGGCATTAGTTCTTTGTTTTGACACATTTCTCCAATAAACACATGCTCTCCAGTTTTCTGTAGAATAAACTGGGCTAGGCACGGTGGCTCACACCTGTAATCCCAGCACTTTGGGAGGCCGAGGTGGGAGGATCACCTGAAGTCAGGAATTTGGGACCAGCCTGGCCAATATGGTGAAACCCTGTCTCTACCAAAAATACAAAAATTAGCTGAGACTGGCGGTGCATGCCTGTAGTCCCAGCTACTCAGGAGGCTAAAGCAGGAGAATCACTTGAACCTGGGAGGTGGAAGTTACAGTGAGCAAAGATCACGCTACTACACTCCAGCCTGGGTGACAAAGTGAGACTCTGTCTCAAAAAAAAAAAAAAAGAATACACTGATCACCTGAAGGTAGCTCTTTAAAATGGAGTTCCTCTGCCTCTTCTGCAACTTTCCCATGAAGCATCAGTGTGTCCCGAAATTTCCGATGAAGTCTGAATTCTGACACTGGATTAGCTACTAGGAGATCTTCACAGCTCTCTTTAGAATCCAGTTTCAGGGTCTGAGTCATCAATTGTACCAAGGCATTAATTTCATTTGTCTGATCTTTCCTGGGGGAAAAATATCCCCTCGTTATTTAATTGGCTTCATGAGAATTTTTCATTAAAAAATTACATGCAAAATGACCTACAGGAGTTTTGCTTTCAAATATCCAAGTAAGCTCCTACAGACTGACCTTTCCACAAATAACAACTACAAACTCTGGATAAAATACAAAACTCAAAAAACTAAAAGCAATGCAGAATAAACAAAACCTGCAGGCAGATCTTGGAGAAGAGTCAACATCTTTTAGCCTAAGTATAGGCCATAAACAGATCAAAGTGCAACAATACTCACAATTTTTCTACAGAAAGGACAGAGTTCAGAACAACCACTGTCATTAGAAAGTGAGAGAGGAATCTTGGAGAGAGTCTGAAAGAAATGGCCTCAGCTTTTCTGTACAAATTCTGCCCAACCATTTCCAAGTAACTTGACTATACTCAAGTACAAAGCTCAAGAATATTTAAAGAAACACAAAATACCAGCTTCCAGTGAGGTAAAATTCAGTGTTTAGCATCTCATCAAAAATAACCAGATGTGCAAAGAAGCAGGAAAATGCCATACATTCGTGAAGAAAAAATCAGTTAATATAAACATATCCAAAAGTGACACAACTGATAGAATTAGTAAATGAGGACATGAAAATGGGTACTATAAATATATTCCATATGGCCAAGGTAGAAGAAAACATGAACATGTTAAGGAAACACACAAAGATATAAGAAAAAGTCCCAAATCAAATTTCTAGAGACTAAAGATACAATATATTAAATAATGGGATAGGATTAATAGATTAGACACTGCAGAAGAAAAGATTAATGAACCCAAAGGCATAGCAATAGAATCTATGAAATATGAAACAGAAAAAAAGTAAAAATAGGTCAGGTGCAGTGGCTCATGACTGTAATCCCAGCACTTTGGGAGGCCAAGGCGGGCAGATCACCTGAGGTCAGGAGTTTGACACCAGCCTGGCCAACGTAGTGAAACCCGGTCTCTACTAAAAATACAAAAAAGTAGCCAGGCATGGTGGCACGTGAAATCCCAGCTACTCAGGGGGACTGAGACAGGAGAAATGCTTGAACCCAGGAGGCAGAGCATGCAGTGAACCAAGATCGTGCCACTGCACTCCAGCCTGGGCAACAGAGTGAGACTCCGTCCCAAAAAATAAATTAATTTAATTTTAAAAAAAAGTAAAACTAAACAGAGCATCAGTGAGCTGTGGCACAAATTTAAGGAGTCTAATATCCATGTAATTGGAATCCCTAAGAGGGCAGGAAGACATCCAAAGAAAAGAATGAAGAAATAATAGCCAAAGGTTTTCTTCTTTCTTTTCTTTTTTTTTTTTTTTCTTTTGAGACACAGTTTCGCTCTGTTGTGGAGGAGGCTGGAGTGCAGTGGCGTGATCTTGGCTTACTGCAACCTCCGCTTCCTGGGTTCAAGTGATTCTCTGGCCTCAGCCTTCTGAGTAGCTGGGATTACAAGAATGTGCCACCAGGCACAGCTAACTTTTTAGAATTTTTAGTAGAGACAGGGTTTAACAATGTTGGCCAGGGTGGTCTCAAATTCCTGGCCTCAAGTGATCCACCTGCCACGGCCTCCCAAAGTGCTAGAATTAAGGTATCAGCCACCATACCAGGCCAGCCAAACTTTTCCTAAATCTGATGAAAACTATATATCTATAGGTCTAAGAAGACATTCTTGAAGACTTCTAAATAAAAATCAGATGTGCAGCCGGGCAAAGTGGCTCATGCCTGTAATCCCAGCACTTTGGAAGGCTGAGGCAGGCAGATCATGAGGTCAGGAGATCAAGACTATCCTGGCTAACATGGTGAAACCCCATCTCCACTAAAAATACAAAAAATTAGCCAGGTGTGGTGTGGTATGCACCTGTAGTCCCAGCTACTTGGCAGACTGAGGCAGGAGAATTGCTTGAACCCAGGAGGCGGAGGTTGCAGTGAGCCAAGATTTCGCCTCTGTACTATAGCATAGGTGACAGGGTGAGAGCTGGTCTTAAAAAAAAAAGAAAAAAGAAAATCAGACGTGTGCATAGAAATGACATTTTTTTACCTTTTTGGCCGGGCGCGGTGGTCACACCTGTAATCTCAGCACTTTGGGAAGCCGAGGTGGGCAGATCACCTGAGGCCAGGAGTTTGAGACTAGCCTGACCAACATGGAAAAACCTCATGTCTACTAAAAATATAAAATTAGCTGGGCATGGTGGCACATGCCTGTAATCCCAGCTATTTGAAAGGCTGAGGCAGGAGAATCTATCTTTTTTTTTTTTTTCTTTGAGATGGAGTCTTGCTCTGTCACCAAGCTGGAGTGCAGTTGCACGATCTCAGCTCAATGTAACTTCTGCTGCCCAGGTTCAAGCAATCCCCCTGCTTCAGCCTCCCAAGTAGCTAGAACTACAGGCACGCGCCACCATGCCCAGCTAATGTTTTGTATTTTAGTAGAGACGGCTTTTCACCATGTTGGCTAGGATGGTCTCAATCTCCTGACCTCGTGATCTGCCTACCTCAGCCTCCCAAAGTGCAGGGATTACAGGTGTGAGCCACCATGCCCGGCTGACAGGAGCATCTCTTGAACACAGGAGGCAGAGATTGCAATGAGCCGAGATCACACCACTGCACTTCCACCTGGGCAACAAAAGAGAAACTCCATCTCAAAAAAAAAAAGAGACATTTTTATCTCCAGCATGTGCCACAAACCATTTATAATTTTATCAGTGGGAATACTAGAGATCTGAATACTTTTAGTATTCATTAAAACAGAAATGTACATTTAGTATGCATTAAAACAGAAATAGTTTATAAAGGGAGACAGAAAAATAAGAACTTACCCTTCCTTAGAATCCCCATCTGACTTATCAGTTGAACTTGTAGAAGAACTTAACTCATCTTCAGAGAGACAATGAATCAGTTTCCTTTCCTATTAATGTTTGGAAGAAATAAAATTCTACATGACAACAGTACCAGAATGTGATAGCTGAAAAGTCTTAGATGCAACAACCAGACACAATACATTCCCAGGTGCAATGTAACAGGAGAAACTAACAAATACAAAAATTGTTCCCATATGATTGGTGGCAAAAAGAAAAAAAAAATTAAAGTGATTTTACCCGTATGATATCCCAGTTCACCCATAAAGTTCATAAGAAAGACTGAAGAACATCAAGGTGAAGTTTTACAAGGGTCCTGATGAGTCTCAGCTGTGAAGAAATTTGAGGGGAATGGATGGCTAGTTCTGGTGTATCAACTTCTAAGCAGAGGGCTTGTTTCATAGGAATATTGGCATTTTAAATTACCTAGGCAACTTCAGCTTGCTTTTTTTTGTTCTTGTTTTTGTTTTTTTTTTTAGATACAGGGGTCTCACTATGTTTCCCAGGCTGACCACAAACTCCTGGGCTCAAACAATCCTCCTTCCTTGGCCTCCCAAGTAGCTGAGACAACAGGCACAAGCCACCATGACCAGCTTCAGCTTGCTCTTAATGTGAGACTATTACAGTGCTTTACAGGATTACCTAATAATACACATAAACCTTGCAATTCTAGGATATGGAGGGTAGCCTCTATTAGTGAACTAACTAAATGATACGGTTAAAGAAATAATACATCCTTCAAAGAGCAAGAAGACTTCCCAGAGTATTACACAGAAAAGTAAACATGGATTCGAAACCTAGCAATTACCCATTTAGCCACCAGATGGTAGCTCTATATCATCTACTGGCAAGAAAGTAAACTACACTGACACAAGAAACTGAGGAATGATTAGCAAGTGAGACTCAAATCTGGCGACACAGATGGGTATATTGGTATCACAGCAGAATGAGCGAACTGTTGCCTAGTGCAAGCCCTTAGAAAGTTCTGATTTATTTATTTGTTTATTTATTCATTTATATTTTTGAGACAGGGTCTTGTTTTTTGTTTGTTTTTACTTTTTTGTAAAACTATGACTCTACAAGTGTTCATTGTTTTCTTTTTTTTTTTAAGAAAGAAAGAAAAAAAAGGATTGAAGGAGAGGAAGAGGAAGAAAAAGAGGGAGAGAGAACGGGAATGTAGCTTTATTCTAAAAATGGGTATTAATAATGGCCGATCAATATTTTGTGTATTTAAGGTGGAGAATGTATATTTTGTGTATTTAAAATGGAGAGCTCTATAAATATTTATCGAGTTTACTTGTTCCGGATCTGAGTTCAGATCCTGAATATCCTTATTAATTTTCTGTCTCGTTGAGTCTAAATCTCTTTATGAGTCTTATGTATCTGGGTGTTAGGATTGTTAGCTCTTATTGTTGCATTGATCCTTTTACCACTATATCTTTGTTGCTTTGAAATCTATTTTATCAGATGCGAGAATTGCAACTCCTGCTTTTTATTTATTTTTGCTCTCCATTTGGTTGGTAAATCTTTCTCCATCCCATTTATTTTAAGTCTTTGTGTATCTTTGGATGTGAAATGGGTCTGGATGTAGCATACCGTTGGGTTTTGGCTGTATCTTTTGATTGGGGGATTTAGTCAATTTAAATTTAGGGTTACTGCCATTTGATTTTAACTGGCTATTTTATCCATTCGTTGATGTAAATTCTTCTTTATGTTGATGCTCTTTACTTTTTGGTATATTTTTAGAAAGGCTAATACTTTCCTTTCTATGTATAATGCTTCTTTCAGAAGCTCTTGTAAAGCTGGCCTGGTGGTAATAAAATCTCTGAGTACTTGCTTATTCATAAAAGATTTTATTTTTCTTTCAATTGTGAAGCTTAGTTTGGCAGGATATGAAATTCTGGGCTGAAAGTTCTGTTCTTTAAGGATGTTGAATATCGACCCCCACTCTCTTCTGGCTTGTAGGGTTTCTGCTGAGAGATCTGCTGAAAAATAGGCTTCCCTTTGTGGGTAACCTGGCCTTTCTCTCTGGCTGCCCTTAGTATTTCCTCCTTTGTTTCAACCCTGGTGAATCTAACGATTATGTGCCTTGGGGTTGCTCTTCTTGAGGAATATCTTTGTGGTGTTCTCTCTATTACCTGGGGTTGAATATTGTCCTGCTTTGCTAGATTCACAAAGTTTTCCTGAATAATATCCTGAAGAGTATTTTCCAGCTTGGATTCATTCTCTTCGTATTCAGGTACACCTATCAAACGTAAATTAGGTATTTTCACATAGTGCCATATTTCTTGGAGACTTTGCTCATTCCTTTTTATCCTTTTTTCTCTATTCTTGTCTTCTCGTTTTATTTCATTAAGTAGGTCTTTGACCTCTGATATCCTTTCTTCTGCTTGATCAATTCGGCTATTCAAACTTGTGCATATTTCGCTAAGTTTTTGTGTTGTGTTTTTCAACTCCGTTAGTTCATTTATATTCCTCTCTATACTGTCTATTCTTGTTAGCATTTCATCAAACCTTTTTTCAAAGTTCTTAGTTTCTTTACATTGGGTTAGAACAAGTTCTTTTAACTCCCAGAAGTTTCTTATCATCCACCTTCTGAAGCCTACTTCTATTAATGGCACACAGTCCTTTTCCATCAGGGCTTGTTCCGTTGCTGATGAGGAACTGTAATCCCCTGTAGCGGGAAAGGGGTTCTGATTTTGGGTATTTTCAGCCTTTTTAGGCTGGTTTCTTCCCTTTGTTATAAATTTATCCATCTGTCATCTTTACAATTACCGCCTTTCTAGTTGGGTTTCTGAGTGGACGCCCAGTTTATTGATTCCCAGCACTGGAATCCGAGCAACCCACTGCGCTGGCCAAAACAGCAGCGATAAGACTGATGGTGCTCTTCTGCCCGGGAATCTCCTCCCATTTACTCTGCATGAAGAGCTGCCGCACCGAGGTGCCGGCAAAACCACTGCGCCAGCAAAATCGCTGCGCTGGCCACAAGAGTCGTGCTGGCAACCCGTGGGGCCCCTCCACTGGGAATCTTCTGGTCTGTGAGTGACGAAAATTCGTCTGAAAGTGTGACGTCCTCTCGTTCTCTGCGCTTTCACTGGGAGCTACAATCCCGAACTGTTAGCAATCAGCCATCGTGGATGATTCGACAAGACAGGGTCTTGTTCTGTCATATATTTATTTTTATTTTAGAGACAGGGTCTTGCTCTGTCACCCAGGCTAAAGTGCAGTGGTGTGAACACAACTCACTGTAGCCTCGACCTCTTGGGCTCAAGCGATCCTCCCACTTCGGTCTCTTGAGGCTGGAACTACAGGTGTGCACCACCTTTCCAGGTAATTTTCTTTTCTTAGAGACAGGGTCCAACTATATTGCCCAGGTTGATCTCAAATTCCTGGGCTAAACCAATCTTCTCACCTTGACCTCCCAAAGTGCTAGTATTATAAGCGTGAGCCACTGCATAAGGCCAGGAAGTCCTGTTTTAAAGACCTACCTAAGAAATATTTTTAATTAGGCTGCCAGTTGTTTACAAGAGTACCTGAAAAATGTATTCCCTTAATGGGTCAAACATAATCCTTTTGACTATTATTTACCAGTTCCTTTTTTTATCAAGAGCGAAAAGATGTAACAAGCTGGCCCTGCCCCAAAAATAAATGGAGCTGACATTTATAAGGTTTACTACATTAGGCTTGCCAGATGTCGACTGTTCACCTTCTCTTCTGGGAGTACGTAATGCACCTGAGTGACGCTGCAGTCAGAAGAGAGCCGTTGGGCAGGCATGGGCTGGTCTTCCTCCTGGGGATTCCCTGGCCCTGCTATACTTGGAGAAGCTTTCCTCAATGAAGGGCCTGAAAAAGCAAACATCCCCAGTAGTTGTTTGTGGTGGGCTACCCCAATTGAAGAGGGCTTTGTATTGGGTATGGAATATATCCCAGCAAGAGCTGGCCCAGAAGTAACTCAAACAGCATATTTATCATTACTCTGGTGTCTGATATCTCAGTTGAAATCTTAGCTCTGGGTCCACCAGCTCTGTGACCTTGGGCAAGTTACTTAACTCTTCAGAGCCTCTGTTTCCTCAGCTGCAAAATGGGGATAATGCTGCATATTTTTGAAGTTACTGTACATATGAAATGGGATAATGCCCTTAAGATGTTTACCATAATGCCTGAGACATGGTCAGCATTCAATAAACGGAAACTGCTAATACTATCTTTAAAAAATAAAAGAAGAAATGAGCATAGCCCTCAGCCTAGGGCAGCACCACTCCTCCAGCAACCTCCCTCTGTTCCTGAGATGAGAGCAATTCTCTGATAAGAGCAAACCTCCCAGGAGTTACTGCCACTGAAAGCCCTCTTGCTCTTTTTTAAATATCTTCCTCCTCTGATATTTGTTCCAGATTCAACAGCCTATAATGATTTCTTAAAAGGCTGGACTAAGAAATTTCAAAATCTCTTCCAAATCGATTTCCTACATAGATTACTGCTGCTGGAAGGTTTCTACTTCTCACAGTCAGGACCATTGCTTCTGTCCATGAGCCATACCCTCAACTGCCAATTAGATGAAGAAAGAAATCAACTTTACCTGAAGGGAACATTTCTTCCTGTGACTGCTTTAGTCGCCTCCTCTCTCTGGCTGATAATGGTCGATCCTTTAAAAGAAAGTCACAGAGTCACTTCCACTCTTACTCACTATTCATGTAACACCTACAATGCATGATATATCATCCAACATTAAGAAAAAGGTCTTGGCCAGGTGCAGTGGTCCAGGCCTGTAATCCCAGCACTCTGGGAAGCCAAGGCAGTCAGATCACGAGGTCAGAAGTTTGAGGCCAGTCTGGCCAACATGGTGAAATCCTGTCTCTACTAAAAATACAAAAATTAGCTGAGCATGGTGGCACACACCTGTTATCCCAGTTACTTGGGAGGCTGAGGCAGAACTGCTTGAATCTGGGAGGCAGACGTTGCAGTGAGCCAAGATCGTGCCATTGCACTCTAGCCTGGGTGACACAGCAAGGTTCTGTCTCAAAAAAAAAAAATGGCCAGGCGCAGTGGCTCATGCCTGTAATCCCAGCACTATGGGAGGCTGAGATGGACGGATCATGAGGTCAGGAGATCAAGACCATCCTGGCCAACATGGTGAAACCCCATATCTACTAAAATACAAAAAATTAGCCGGGCGTGCTGGTGTGTGCCTATAATTCCAGCTACTCGGGAGGTTGAGGCAGGGGAATTGCTTGAACTAGGGTCTCCCTAGTGCCACTGGACTCTAGCCAGGTGACAGAGCAAGACTCCGTCTCAAAAAAAAAAGGAAAAGGTTGTATTCCAGCATGGGTGACACAGCAACACCAAAAAAAAAAAAAAAAAGGTCTTGCACTGGACCTAGAGGAGTGTCCATTGGAAATCAGCCCACAGCAGGGTTATAGCTACCAGTGAGAAATGATCACAGCCTTCGTTTCTGGGAAGTACTCATTTTTGGAAAGGCAAATAAGGACTTTCACATTTACCATATTCAGAATCTACTTGGTTTCCTTAATTCACTAGAAGCGACCATCTCTGAAACCACAGAATCTGTCCGTTTTAATCAAAGATTCTGCTGAGGCTGGGCGTGGTGGCTCACACCTGTAATCCTAGCACTTTGGGAGGCCAAGGCAGGTAGATCACCTGAGGTCAGGAGTTTGGGACAAGCCTGACCAACATGGCAAAACCCTGTCTCTACTAAAAATACAAAAATTAGCCAAGCATGGTGGCTGGCACCTGTAGTTTCAGCTATTTGGGAGGCCAAGGCAGGAGAATTGCTTGAACCCAGGCGGTAGAGGTTGCAGTGAGCGAAGATCATGCCACCGCACTCCAGCCTGGGTGAAAGAGCGAGATTTCATCTAAAAAAAAATTGAAAAAATAAAATAAAATTCTGCTGAGATCACATTGTCCCATCTGTCCCTTCCCATGTTTGGCAAGAAGCAGCGGTAAGGTGTTTTAACACAAAACTTCACAATATACACAGGATTTTGTAACCGAAAAGCTTTAAAAGAAGGTTTTGGGGGTTTTTGTTTTTGAGACAGGTTCTCACTCTGTCACCCAGGCTGATCTCAGCTCTCCTCAACCTTCCCCTGTTGGGTTCAAACCACCCTCCCACCTCGGCTTCATGAGTAGTGGCATTATAGGCATGTGCCACCACATTTGGCTAATTTTTAATATTTTTGTAGAGACAAGGTCTCACTATATATTGCCCATTGCCCATGCAAGTCTTGTACTCCTGGGCTCAACTGATCCTCTTGCTTCAGCCTCCCAAAGTGCTGTAAGTTTTTTTGTGTTTTTTTTTTTGTGAGACATAGTCTCACTCTGTCACCAGGCTGAAGTGCAGTGGCTCGATCTCAGCTCACTGCAATCTCCACCTCCGGGGCTGAAGTGATTCACCTGCCTCAGCCTCCTGAGTAGCTAGGGCGATGGGTGCATGCCACCAAGCCCTGCTAGTTTTTGTATTATTTTTAGAAGAGACAGGGTTTCATCATGTTGGCCAGGATGGTATGGATCTCTTGACCTCGTGATCCACCCACGTTGGCCTCCCAATGTGCTGGGATTACAGGCATGAGCCACTGCACCCAGCTGGCTATAAGGTTATTAAAAATCCAACATATAGTCCCACAAACCTTTGATGATAACATCTCACTGCTCCTTGAACTGCTCGCAGGCCCAGTGACCACTCTACATTGGTTTGTAGCATCTTTTTGTGTTGATGTGATATTCACTTTTCCAACAATGGGATGAGAGGGCAAAATTTGAGGAGGCGACTCTTGGAACTTAAATAATTAAAAAAGATTATAGGTTTCATATATAGCCCCTTCCAGTGTTCCCCTATCAGCAGGTTCTCTATGTATTTGTCAATGGTTTCTGTATTTGTCAGAGGATATCTGTGGAAGTTACTTCAAGAAATGATATGTCAACATAATTCTGTGGAGAAGCTGAAGAAAGAACTGTTCATCAGTACAATATAGATGGAGTCAAAGGTGTACTCTCATTAGCCTATTCCTTTAACTTTCAAAATGATCTGTCCATCTTTGCTAGAGAAGATAAAATCCTTACTCTGCTTCCAACTCACTAATATTTGAAAACTAGCATTTAGCATCTTGCCACTGCCACCCTTCTCTATATGTTCCTTGCATTTCCTACATGCCTTTTTGGCAATTGTTAATTACTCTAAACAGAAATTGAGCTTTCCAATGTCCACCTCCCAAACAAAAGCAAAATGACATACAGCAAAGAGATCTCTGCCAACCTGTCTCTTTTCCCCTCTGTGCTCAGTCTGTTCTCTCTTCCTCTGCCGCCACTGTCGAGACAGGGAAGGTTCAGATCCAGAGTTGTGTGGCTGTAAATCTGGGTGGATTCTGCCCTGTTTTTCTATAATACATTCACCAGCAACTTGATCCTTAAAAATAATAAAATGGCATTTTAAAGTATAGCAGCAACCCGGTACATTATAATCCAAAGTAAGGTGCCCATAAAAAGTGGCTTTTGGCCGGGCACGGTGGCTCACACCTGTAACCCTTTCACTTTGGGAGGCGAAGTGGGAGCAGATCACCTGAGGTTGAAGACCAGCCTGACCAACAGGGACCACCCTGACTCTATTAAAAATACAAAATAAGCTGGGCATGGCAGCACATGCCTATGATCCCAGCTACTTGGGAGGCTGAGGCAGGAGAATTGCTTGAACCTGGGAGGCGAAGGCTGCAGTGAGCTGAGATTGCACCACTGCACTTCAGCCTGGGCAACAAGAGCGAAATTCCATCTCCAAAAAAAAAAAGTGGCTTTTGTCTTTAGCATGAAGACTTTCCACAGTTTTAAAAATTGTTTCCATATTGCAATTTAAAGTATTACATGGAAGTTCTAAAATGACCCATCATGATGTAAAGTTCACAGTATGGTTCAAATTTAACAATGCAGAATTAAATATAGAGGCATATATAACCTTCCTCTTAGAAAACAAAAACAGTTGCAATTTCAAATTTTTATGCAATGAGATTAAATCATAATACAACAGTTAAAAAATAATAATAAAATGAAGCAAACACATACAAAAACACAAAATAATGAAAAGTCTTTTGAACATCCAAATGGCCAAACTCTCCATGCCTACTTTTAAAATTATAAATGAAAATGAGAAGAAGCTGAGTATGGTAGCTCACACCTGTAATCCCAACGCTCTGGGAGGCCAAGTCAGGAGGACGACTTGAGGCCAGGAGTTCAAGACCAGCCTGAGTAACATAGTGAGACCTCCATCTTCATTAAAAAAAAAAAGTCAGATGTGGTGATATGCCAGGTAGTCACAGCTACCCAGGAGGCTGAAGTGAGAGGATCGCATGAGCCCAGGAGGTCGAGGCTACCATAAGTTGTGATCATGCCACTGTACTCTAGCATGGGTGACACAGCAAGAGTGTCTCAAAATAAATTTTTTAAAATAAATTAAAAAGAAAATAAATAATTAATTAATTAAAAAGAAAATGAGGAGTTATCTTTCTTAAAATGAATGTTTATTTGCAATGTGGACAGGTAAAGACAAAATGTCAACATCAGTTATCCCAATGTTCTTTTTTCTCTTCCTCCAAATAAAAATAATTGTTGTTTTTTTTTTGAGACAGAGTCTTGCTCTGTCGCCAGGCTGGAGTGCAGTGGCGCAATCTCAGCTCACTGCAACCTTCACCTCCTGGGTTCAAGCGATTCTTCTGTCTCAGCCTCCCGAGTAGCTGGGACCACAGGTGCGTGCCACCACACCTTGCTAATTTTTGTGTTTTTAGTAGAGACAGAGTTTCACAATGTTGGCCAGGATGGTCTCGATCTCTTGACTTCGTGATCCACCCACCTCAGCCTCCGAAAGTGCTGGTATTACAGGCCTGAGCCACTGCGCCCAGCCAATAATTGTTTTAATTAAATCACTTAAATTGTTGCTAATCTTAAACTACTGATATTTGATCCAGTTATTTAAAAAAAAACTCTTCATTAACTTTTCATAGGTTTTCTATTTTGAAGATGAACAAATGTTTTAAATGAATTCCAATTTAATGCAAATTTATTTCCAAGGTAAATATCAGTTATTTGGATATACCCTAAAAAGCACCCTCCTGCCATCCAGGTGGATGCAGGTGGATCATGAGGTCAGGAGTTCGAGACCAGTCTGGGCAATATGGTGAAACCCCACCTTTACTAAAAATACAAAAATTAGCTGAGTATGGTGGTACACACCTGTAGTCTCAGCTACTTGGGAGGCTGAGGCAGAAGAATTGCTTGAACCTAGGATACGGAGGCTGCAGTGAGCAGAGATAGTGCCTCAGAAACCTCCACCTTCTGGTTCAAGTGATTCTCCTGCCTCAGCTTCATGAGTAGCTGGAATTACAGGGTGTGCCACCACACCTGGCTAAGTTTTGTATTTTTAGTAGAAACTGGGTTTCACTATGTTGGCCAGGCTGGTCTTGAACTCCTGACCTCAAATGATCTGCTCTCCTCAGACTCCCAAAGTGCTGGGATTACAGGCATGAGCTCCTGGTCAGGAGACAATATTTTCAAATGCTGTATCTAATTAGGAACTGGTATCTAGAATAAAGAACTCTTAGAATTCAATAATAAAATGATAAATAAACCAATTTTAAAATTGGCAAAGGATTAGAATAGATTATTTCTCCAAAGGAAGTATACCAATGGCCAAAAAGTAATAAAAAGATGTTCAAGGCTGGGTGCAGTGGTTCACACCTGTAATCCCAATACTTTAGGAGGCAGAGCCAGGCTGATCATTTGAGATGAGAAGTTTCCAGCCTGGCTCTGCCTCCTGGAAGGGGTTAAACCCCATCTCTACTTAAAAAAACTATAAAAATTAGCTGGTCCTGGTGGCATACGCCTGTAATCCTAGCTACTCAGGAGGCTGAGGCAGGAGAATCGCTTGAACTCAGGAGGCAGAGGTTGCAATGAAGCGAGATCATGCTACTGCACTCTAGCTTGGGTGACAGGGCAAGACCGTTTTTTTTAAAAAAAAAAAAGATGTGTAACATCATTGGTCATTAGGGAGATGCAAATCACAACCGCTTCACACCTACAAGGATGATTATGTTCAAAACAATAAACAATTAACAAGTGCTGGCATGGATGCAGATAAACTGGAACCCTCATATATTGCTGGCAGAAATAAAATTATACAGCTGCTTTGGAAAACAATTTTGTAGTTCCTCAAAAAGTTCAATACATAGAGTTACCATATGACCCAGCAATTCTACTCCAAGGCACATACTCAACAGAACTGAAAATATATGTCCACACAAAAACTTGTATACAGGTGTTCATAGCAGCATTATCCACATATAACCTTCCTCTTAGAAAACAAAAGTAGCTAAAAAGGGGAAACAACCCAAATGTTCATCAAGTGACGAATGTATGAACAAAATATATACAGGCTGGGCATGCTGGTTCACAACTGTAATCCCAGCACTTTGGGAGGCTGAAGCGGGTGAATCACTTGAGATCAGGAGTTTGAGACCAGTCTGGCCGAGATGTGAAACCCCATCTCTACTAAAAATATTAAAATTAGCTGGGCGTGGTGGTGCACACCTGCTGTCTCAGCTACTCAGGAGGCTGAGGCATGAGAATGACTTGAACCCACGAGGCAGAGGTTACAGTGAGCTGAGATTGCACCACTGTACTCCAGCCTGGGTGACAGAATGAAGATTCCATCTCAAACATATATATATATCTACACACACACACACACACAAATACAGTATATTATTCGGCAATAAGGAATAAGGCAGAGTGCAGTGGCTCATGCCTGTAATTCCAGCACATTGGGAGGCCAAGTTGGGAGGACTGCTTGAGCACAGGAGTTGAGAAACCAGCCTGGGCAACATGGCCATGGCAAGACCCTATCTCTCTACAAGAAACAGAAATTAAAAAATTAGCTAGGCATGTTTGCGGTCCCAGCTACAGGCAGGAGGATCACTTAAGCCCAGGAGGTCAAGGCTGCAGTGAGCTGTGTTTGACTACTGCACTCTAGCCTGAGCAGCAGAGTGAGACCCCATCTCAAATAACTTTAAAAATTAATTTTTTTTTTTTTTTGAGATGGAGTTTCGCTCTTGTTACCCAGGCTGGAGTGCAATGGCGCAATCTCGGCTCACCGCAACCTCCACCCTCTGGGTTCAGGCAATTTTCCTGCCTCAGCCTCCTGAGTAGCTGGGATTACAGGCACACGCCACCGTGCCCAGCTAATTTTTTGTAATTTTTAATAGAGACGGGGTTTCACCATGTTGACCAGGATGGTCTCGATCTGCCGACCTCGTGATCCATCCGCCTCGGCCTCCCAAAGTGCTGGGATTACAGGCTTGAGCCACTGCGCCCGGCCTAATTTTTTTTTTTTGAGACAGAGTTTTGCTCTTATTGCCCAGGCTGGAGTGAGATGGTGTGATCTCGGCTCACCACAACCTCCGTCTCCCAGGTTCAAGAGATTCTCCTGCCTTAGCCTCCCGAGGAGCTGGGATTACAGGCATGCACCACCACGCTCAGCTAATTTTTGAATTTTTAGTAGAGACGGCATTTCTCCATGTTGGTCAGGCTGGTCTTGAACTCATGATCTCAGGTGATCTGTCCACCTCAGCCTCCCAAAGTGCTGGGATTACAGGCGTGAGCCACTGCACCCGGCCTAAAAATTAAATTTTTTAAAAGGAGTAAAATGTTGGTACATTTTATATAAAATAAATGAACAGGAATAAAGGAATAAAATGTTGCTATATCATAGATAAACCTTGAAAATAGCACGTTAAGTAAAAGAAGCCAAATACACAAAGCCATACATTCTGATTCCATTTACATGAAATGCTCAGAATAGGCAAATCCATAGGGACAAATGTTGCCAGGGGTTGTGGGCAAGAGGAAATGGTGAGTGACTGTTACAGGGTACTAGGTTTCTTTTTAGGTTGATGCAGATATTCTTCTATGTTTAAACTAATACACAGAATAAATGACTTTCCTAAAATGAAAAAAGAACCCACATATTTACATCTGCACTTTCAGTCCTCTCTCTGAAACCAATACCTCACATGTGCATATTACTCACCTGGTCCTTTGGCTTTTGTTCTTTGATTAGGGGCTGCAGAGGCTTCAATAGTTCATTCTTTTCCCCAGTGAAGTCAGAGGACCACATGGGAATCAGGTTTTCAGGCTGAGCACTGGATTTAGTGTTGTCCCGCGGCATCTCCTCTTCCACTTGAGAAATACTGCATTTACCTCCTAACTCAGTAGAGGCATCCAAGTGTGCTGGCTGATTCTCCTGAACAAAGCCGTCGCTCACTGAGTCCCTCCCTTTTGCAGGTAAGATGTCAATATTTACCCTACTGATTGTGGCTAGTTCTGTGGTATTGCTTAAGTCCTGTTTGCAGGTATGAGCTTTCAGGCTGGCAGGTGACTTCAAGGGATCAGAGACCCTGGGTTTCTCCTCGGACAAACATTTGCCTTCAACCTGAATGAAAACATGTCTGGAAATTATTATAGTACACCTCACATCACATACAAAAATCAACTCAAAATGCAACAACACATTCCTCAAAAAGTTAAACATGGAATTACCATATGACCCAGCAATTCCACTAAGTATGTACTCCAAGGAACTGAAAGCAGGGACTCAAGAAATTGTACAGCAATGTTTATAGCAGCTTTATTCAAAATAGCTAAAAGGCGGAAACAACCCAAAAGTCCATCAGCAGATAAAGGGATAAACAAAATGTAGCAAATACTGCTGGGCATGGTGGCTCACACCTGTAATTCCAGCACTTTGGGAGGCTGAGGCAAGTGAATCACTTGAGGACAGGAGCTGGAGACCCAGCAGCTTGAGATCAGCCTGGGCAACCTAGTGAAACCCCATCTCTACTAAAAATAGAAAAATTGGCTGGGCATGGTGGTGCACATCTGTAGTCCCACTTATTTGGGAGGCTGATACAAGAGGATTGCTTAAGCCTGGGAGGTGGAGGGTGTAGTGAACTGAGAGACCACCACTGCATTCCAGCCTGGGTGACAGGAGTGAAATCTTGTTTCAAAAAATATATATATGGCAAATACATACAATGGAATATTACTAACCAATAAAAAGGAATTAAGTTCTGATACATACTAAAACATGAATGAACCCTGAAAACATGCTAAGTAAAATAAACCAGGCCGAGTGCAGTGGCTCACACCTATTATCCCAGAACTTTGGTAGGCAGAGGCAAGAGGATAGCTTGAGGCCTGGAGTTTGAGACAAGCCTAGGCAATATGGCAAAACTGCATTTCTATTAAAAAAATACACAAAAAATTTAGCTGGGCATGGTGGCAAGTACCTGTAGTCCCAGCTACTTGGAAGGCTGAGGTGGGAGGATTGCTTGAGCCAGGAGGTCAAAGCTGCAGTGAGCCGTGATTGCACCACTGCACTCCAGCCTGGTTGACACAGTGAGATCCTGTCTCAGAAAAGAAAAGAAATAAGCCAGGGCAGGGACCAAGCAGAGGCAGGACTGGCACTGTGGCCAGAGATGCTGCTAGGCCACAACAGCAATGAGCAGCTGGGAACTCTACATTGAAGGCACAGAGGTAAGGTCCAATGACCGGAAGGCTGGAAAATTGAATGCTGAGAAGAGAAGAGTCTGATGACAGACTACTGAATTTCTTTGGAGTACAAATTATGAACATTTTCTGGATCAGGAACAAGGCAAGAATGCCTGTTTTCACCTCTTCTAGTCAATATAGTACTAGCAGTTCTAGCCAATGCAATTAAGCAAGGGAAAAAAAAGCATCAAAACTAGAAAAGAAGAAGTAAGATTATCTCCTTTTGTAGATATGATCCTGCATGTAGAAAACCCTAGATTCCACACACAAAAACTGTTGGAACTAATAAATGAATTGAGCAAGGTAGCAAGAGGGAAGGAAAGTCAATACATAAAAATCGGTTCCATTTCTATACACTAACAATAGACAATCTGAGAAGCAAATTACAAGAACAAACCAATTTACAACAGTATCAAAAAGAGTAAAATAATTAGGAATTAACCAAAAGGTGGAAGAAAGACTTACATAGTGAAATCTACAAAATAGTGCTGAAAGAAATTTAAAGAGGACATAAACAGAAACACATCCCATATTCACGGGTTAGAAGACTTAACATTGTTCTTTCTTTCTCTTTTTACAATTAGGCATCTCCTTGAGGAGAGCTTAATGTTGTTAATATATTAATACTACCCACAGCAATCTATAGACTCAATCAAATCCCTGTAAAAATCCCAATGACATTCTTTGCAAGAACAGAAATATCCATCCTAAAATTCACATGGAATCTCAAGGGATCTCAAATAGTCAAAGCAATGTTGAAAAGGAAGAATAGAGATGTAGGACTCATGTCCCATGATTTTAAAACATACTACAAAACTAGATAAGCAAAACATTGTAATATTGGTATAAAAACAGACATTAGACATAGAAACCAATGGAAGGAAATAGGGAACCCAGAAATAAACCTTCACATATATGGTTAAATTATTTTTGACAAAGGTGCCAAGATCATTTGATGAGGAAAAGACAGCTTTTTCAACAAATAATGCTGAAAAAACGAGATATCCACACACAGAAGAATGTAGTCAGACCTCTACCTAACACCATATATAAAAATTAACAGCCAGGCACTGTGGGTCACGCCTGTAATCCCAGTACTTTGGGAGGCCAAGGCAAGTGGATCACCTGAGGTCAGGAGTTCAAGAATAGCCTGACCAACATGAAGAAACCCCATCTCTACTAAAAATACAAAAAAAATAGCCGGGCATAGTGGCACATGCCTGTAATCCCAGCTACTCAGAAGGCTGAGGCAGGAGAATTGCTTGAAACCAGGAAGTGGAGGTTGCAGTGAGCCGAAATCGCACCATTGCACTCCAGCCTGGGCAACAAGAGTGAAACTCTGTCTCAAAAAAAAAAAAAAAATTAACTCAAAATGAACAAAAAACCTAAATGTAAGACCTAAAACTATAAAACTCTCAGAAGCAGACATAAGGCCAAGACTTCACAACTTTGGATTTGGCAATTATTTTCTGGATAGGACATCAAAGACAAAAGCAACACAAGAAAAGGACAAATTGGATTTCATAAAAATTAAAACTTTTGTGCATCAAAAGATACTATCAACAGAGTAAAAAGGCAACCCACAAAATGAGAAAAAATATTTACAAATTATATATGTGATTAGGAACTGACATCTTGAATAGGAGAATCCAGAAAAAGCAAAAAATGAATGACCCAACTCAAAAATGGGCAAAGAACTTGAATAGCCATTTCTCCCAAAAAGATATGCAAACAGCCAATAAGCACATGAAAAATGCTCAACATAACTAATCACTAAGGAAATGCAAATCAAAACTGCAATGAGATACCACCTCATGCCCATTAGGATAGCTATAATTAAAAGATCCTAGAAAATAACAAGTATTGGTGAGAATGTAGAGAAACTGGAACCTTCATGCACTACTGATAAGAATGTAAAATGATACAGAAGTTGTAGAAAACAGTTCTGCAGGTCCTTGAAAAGTTAAAAGCACAATTACCATGTGATCACCTTCTGGTTATATACCCAAAAAAGTAGAAATCAGGGTCTTGGCTCATGCCTGTAATCCCAGCACTTTGGGGGGCCGAGGCGGGTGGATGACCTGACGTCAGGAGTTTGAGACCAGCCTGGCCAACATGGTGAAACCCCGTGTCTACTAAAAATACAAAAATTAGCTGGGTGTGGTGACAAATGCCTGTAATCCCAACCACATGGGAGGCTAAGGCAGGAGAATCACTTGAATCCAGGAGGCAGAGGTTACAGTGAGCTGAGATGGCGCCACTGCACTCCACCCTGGGTGACAGAGCGACACTCCATCTCAAAAATAAAAAGAAAACAAAAGAAAAGAAATCAGGGTCTCAAAGAGATATGTGTAGACCCATATTCATAACAGCATTATCCATAGTAGTCAAAAGGTGAAAACAACACAAATGTATATCTGCAGATGAACTGGATAACAAAATGCGGGATTTACGTACAACTGAATATTCAGCATTAAAAAGGAAGGAAATTCTGACATATGTCCCAACATGGATGAACCTTGAAGACATTATATGAAATGAAATAAGGCAGACATGAAAGACAAATACTGCATGATCACTTATCTGAGGTACTTAAAAACCACGGAGACAGAAAGTAGAATGGTTGCTGCCAGGGACTGGGGTAGTAAGGAATGGGGAGATACCGTTTAATTTGAACAGTTTCAGTTTTACAATATCAAAGAGTTATGAAGATGAGTGGTAATGGCTGCACAACATTGTAGATGTATTTATCACCACTGAATTGTACACTTACAAATGTTTAAGATAGTAAATTTTACATTATGTGTATTTTATCATAATGAAAAAAATTAAAACTAAGAATTGAATCCACAACCTAAACATAAAAGCGAAAACTATAACTATGTTTTAGAAGAAACTATGGCATAAACCTTCCAGATGTTGAAGTTGGCAAGGGATTCTTAGCTATGAAAACAAAAGAAAAAAATAGATACGTTGGACTTCATCAAAATTAGAAGCTTTTGTGAAAAGGACATTATCAAAAGAGTGAAAAAAAACAAAAAAAATTTGTTTTAATTATAAAAGGAAAGCAAAGACAACTTAGACAATGGAGAAAATATCTGCAAGTCGTCTGATAAGGACTAGTAACTGGAACACGGATTGAGAACTCTTATAACTCAACAACAAAAAGACAAAAAACACCCATTTAAAACTGGGTAGGAGCTGGGTGATGTGTGGTTCATACTTGTAATCTTAGCACTCTGGGAAGAAAAGGAAGAATTGCTTGAGCCCAGGAGTTCAAGACCAGCCTAGGCAACAGAGTGAGACCCACCTCTACAAAAATAATAAGCCAGGCACAGTGGTGCGCAGTTGTACACCCAGCTAACGAGAAGGCTGAGGTAGGAGGATCCCTTGAGTCTAGGAGTTCAAAGGTTGCAGTGAGCTATGATGATGCCACTGTACTCCAGCCTGGGTGACACAGCAAGATCCTCTCTGTTAAAAAAAAAAAAAAAAAAAGGCTGGGCACAGTGGCTCATGCCTGTAATCCCAGCACGTTGGGAAGCCAAGGTGGGAGGATCACCTGAGCCCAGGAGTTTGAGATCAGCCTGGGCAATATAGTAAGACTTTGTCTCTATAAAAAAAAAAAATTAGCCAGGTGTGATGGCATGCTGTGGTCCTAGCTACTCAGGAGGCTGAGGTGAGAGGATCACTTGATCCCAAGAGACAGAGGCTACAGTTAGCTGTGATCACACCATTGCACTCCAGCCTGGGCAACAGAGTGAGACCCTGTCTCAAAAAAAAAAAGGCAAAAGCTTTAGCAGATATTTCTCCAAAGAGGACATACAAATGGCCAAAGAGCATGTGAAAAGATGCTGTATGTCATTAATCATTAGGGAAATACAAATCAAAAATATAATGAAATACCACTTTACACCCACTAAGATGGCTAGAATCAAAATTTAGAAAATAACAAGTGTTGGCAAAGATGAAGAGAAACTGGAACCCTTGTGCACTGCTGATGGGAATGTCAAATGGTACAGCCACTGCAGAAAACAGTGCCAAAAGTTCCTCAGAAAATCAAACCAAAATTACCATTTGACTCAGCAATTCCACTGCTAGGTATATATCCAAAAGAATGGAAAACAGGTTCTCAACTACTTGCACACAAATGTTCATAGTAACAGCCAAAAGGTGAAAAAAACCCAAATGTCCATTAATGGATGAATGGATAAACAAACTGTGGTATATCCATACAATGGTAGCCAGATCTAAAAAGAAATGAAGTATTCATACATGCTACATGAATGAACCTTGAAAATATAGTGGAAGACACCAGAAACAAAAGGTCACATATTTAATGATTCTATTTATATGAACTATCCAGGACAGGTAACTTCACAGAGAAAGAAAACACACTGGTAGTTCCCAGGGGCCAGGTGAAGCACTGTTTAATGAGGAAGGGATTTCCTCTGAGGTGATAAAAATGTTTTACCACTACATAGAAGTGATGGTTGTACAACATTGTGAATGTACTGGCTGCACTTAATTCACCACTTTATTTAATTATTTATTTTATTTTATTTTATTCTTACTTTTGAGACAGAGTCTCATTCTGTCACCCAGGCTGGAGTGCAGTGGTGTGATCTTGGCTCATTGCAACTTCCAACTCCCAGGTTCAAGCAGTTCTCCTGCCTCAGCCACCTGAGTAGCTGGGATTACAGGCACCCGCCACCACGACCAGTTAATTTTTGTATTTTCAGTAGAGACGAGGTTTCACCATGTTGGCCAGGCTGGTCTGGAACTCTTGACCTCAAGTAATCTGCCAGCCTCAGCTTCCCAAAATGTTGGGATTACAGGCATGAGCCACTGTGCCCACCCTTAATTGTTCACTTTAAAATGGTTAGTTTCGTTACAGAAATTTCACCTAAAAAATTCTTAGTTATTACAGCACTGACTTCATGAACAATTTGACAGCCCAGTTTGGATAAACCTAAATCAATCACCTTAACCAGTATTCTTTCCTTACAATAAGGAATTAATTGTATAACAGAATCTTCAGTAAAGCTAATCATTTCACATATAATAATTTACTTAGATGGCCTATTTTTTTAAGTGCAGTTTCTAAAACACATACCCCTTAAAAAGAAACGTACCATTATACATGTCTGGGAACCCTCAGAAGACTGTGGTTGGGGGTGGATTACTTCATGATCTGATTCTGCCTTTCTGGAAACCACTGTAGCAACAGGCTTGGATTTAGAGTCACCATTTTTAATGTTATTTTTGGAGGTTTTTCTTTATGAAGGAAAAAAGAAAATTATCAAGACATTGAAGATTAAGGTATTTTAATGTATATGTGGGAGTATGTGTATATACAATGAGTTCCTTTATAGAATTGGACCATTTATAGAGAATAGTTTTCTAAAAATCTAAGGGGCATCCTACAAAACACCTGACCAGTAGTCTTTGAAAAATTCAAGGTCATAAAAAATAAAGTGAGAAACAATCATGGACCCCTGATTAGATGTAATATATCCTGGATTGGACCCTGGAACAGAAAAGAGACATTAGAGAAAAAAAACTGGTGAAAGCCAAAGTAAGTCTGGAATTTAGTCAACAGTAGTATTTCTTTCTTTTTTTAAAAATTGAGACAGTCTCACTCTGTCACCCAGGCTAGAGTGCAGTGGCGCGCTCTCAGCTCACTGTAACCTCCACTGCCTGGGTTTAAGTGATTCTTGAGTCTCAGCCTCCCAAGAAACTGGGACTACAGGTGCGTGCCACCACGCCTGGCTAATTTTTTTTTTTTTTTAGTAGTAGAGACAAGGTTTTGTCTCTTCTAAATGTTGGCAAGGCTGGTCTCGAACTCCTGACCTCAGGTGATCTGCCAGCCTCAGCCTCCCAAAGTGCTAGATTTACAGGCATGAGCCACTGCTCCCAACCAAGTCAATAGTAGCATTTCAATGTTGGTTTCTCAGTTTTGACAAATAAATGCATTAGGGCATACAATCACAGAAGAAACTAGATGAGGAGTATACAGGAACTCTCCCCACTAACTTTCCAACTTTTCTGTTTATACAAAATTACTCCAAAATACAAATTCTATGGGAGATTGCCTCACATACGGAAGTACCAGGATAATTTTTGTTTTCAAATTTTAGATGTTTATAATAATACCACAACTACTTAGCTAACTTTGAGAGTAAAAATTATTGGTATACTTAGTCCTGACTCATAGAATAAATGTATACAGGAATAATATCCCCAACTATTTTAGTGTGTCATTTCGAAAACTGAGCTACACCTCTGGAGAATTCAAGAGGAGCATGAAGATCAGTACATTGGAAGGCCAAAGGTCTAGTTGGTGGGAAATTATATAGACAATTTGCACAAAAAGATGGTTCTTTTTTATTCCCTGAGGTGTCTCTAGCACTGCTTCCTCTCTTTCCAAATTTAACATGCTACAAGGCAAGAAGGGAAGCCAAACAGATTGTGATAGTTTTGTCCAGCCCTAAGTCTTAGATCCTGGAATACCTGTTGAGTAAAGGTAGAATCTGCAAGTCAAAGTAAAGAATTCTTCTCTTGGGAAGTTATATGAATGAAGAGAGAACTTTATAAGAACTCTCAGAAATGCGAGCACTACTTTTTAAATATTAGTATCTTACATAGTGAGATGATAGGTTTCTCAGATACTCTCTAATTATAATTTCTGAAACATATGCCCTTTTTAAAAAAATTATTTGGCTGCTCCTTGCAAACAGGGCTAACCCATAGGCAGTGTACCCAGAGTAGTACATATTTCCTTTTTAAAAAAGACTTACACTATATTTCTTAGAACCCTCTGAGGAATGTGACAGTGGTTCTCCAAATTTCTGATTTTAGCAATTAAGCAAATATCAACATGTATTTGAAGACTGGGAGAATATGCCATGCCAAAATATGCTACTTTGGCATAAAGACTATTTTGGGCTAAGGCGCTTTAAAAACTAAGTGCAATAAGGGCACTCTGACCTTCCCTTTTTCTTCTAGAAAGCAGAAGATAAAACTCCCATATGAAACATGTCCTCCCTGTACCAGAAAGAAAGTAAAATTCTTGTCATCAAGAATGGAAAGCTGAAACTGAGAGAATTCTATAAATAGACCTTATTAAAATAATTCTTATCTTTCTTTAGCCTCTCCACATAGTTTAGTTTTCCACAATTGCCTCTCTTTGTTGAATCAAGCACAAAAGCATTTAGGTTTTGCCACTTCTTTGGGTCTTCACTTCCTTATGAGGGCTCCTGTGTCACATAAAACTTATTCAGGTATTAAATAAATCTATATGCTTTTCTCCTGTTAAATTATAAGTTTAATTTTCAAGCTCAGCCAAAAAACCCTAAGAGGGTAGAATTTTCCCTCCTCTATATATGTAATCATGCCATTTTATTTCTTGTTTTTTAAAAAAAGTCACCATCAATTTTTACATATGAATATTATAAAAGCCACCTTCTTTTACACCATCTATTTAGCCCAGCTATTTACAAGGGAAGTATCTTACATCTTTGTGGCCTCCAAAAAGGAGGAGATTTGGCGCTTGATATAAGGTTGCCTCAGGATGCTCCTCACAGACGGCCTTTCTTCAGGCCTTTTGCTCAGCATTGTTCTTATCAGTTCTGCCAGCTCTGGGCTATAATCTCTTGGCATTGGTGGCAGCTACAAAGAAAAACAGTACTGTAAATATGACTAATAGTCTTGTGAAACAAAGTAAAAGCTGGTAGAGGTTTTCCGATATTTACTTAGAGTCATATATCCACATAAACAGAAAACAATCAGTATATTAGTCTACAGGAAGTGTACTGGTATCCCAGTTGTAAGATAACAAGTTGTAAAATTGTAAAAGTATATCCTTCAATCCAGCAGTCCCATATGATGACTCTCTCATTGAGGAATAAGAGCATGAGTTTCCTAAAGGCTTATGGACCAGGATGTTTAATGCAGTACTGTTCTTGCAGTAGTAAACAACTGGAAACAACATGTGTTCATCCATAGGGGATTTGTGGAATAAATTATCATACATTCTTCTTATAGAAACTAGGGTCAGGTGCGGTGGCTCATGCCTGTAATCCCTGCACTTTGGGAGGCAGAGGCAGGCAGATTGCCTGAGGTCAGTAGTTCAAGACCAGTCTGTCCAACATGGTGAAACCCCATCTCCACTAAAAATACATGAAAACTGGCCGGGTGTAGTGGCTCACACCTGTAATCCCAGCACTTTGAGAGGCCAAGGAGGGCAGATCATGAGGTCAGCAGTTGGAGACCAGCCTGGCCAATATGGTGAAACCCCATCTTTACTAAAAATACAAAAGTTAGCAGGGCGTGGTGGTGCACCTGCAGTCCCAGCTACTCAGGAGGCTAAGGCAGAGAATCACTTGAACCTGGGAGGTGGAGGTTGCAGTGAGCCAAGATTGTGCCATTGCACTCCAGCCTGGGCAACAGTGAGACTCTGTCTCAAAAAAAAAAAAAAAAATTAGCTGGACATGGTGGCATGCACCTGTAATCCCAGCTACTCAGGAGGCTGAGGCAGAGGAATTGCTTGAACCAGGGAGGTGGAGGTTGATGTGAGTCAAGATCATACCACTGCACTCTCGGCTGGGCAACATTTCAAAAAAAAAAAAAAAAAGAAAGAACGAAACTAGGCAGCAGGTTAAAAAAATACAAGACTTACAGGTACTGACTTGGAAAGATGTCCCTCATATATACAGTCCAAAAAACAAGTTATGTACCATATTAACAGCCTGATTCCATTTCAGTTTCTTTCAAAAATCTGTGGGTGTACGTATGTGCATGCGCGCACACATACACACACACACACACACACACACACACACACACACACACAGTTATGTCTGTATAAAGTCAGGAAAAAGCCAGAAAGGCAATATGCCAAATTGCTAGCATTGGTCATCTTCCAGGGAATGGGCATAGAAAGAGAAAAGAATTTCACTCCCTTCTTGTTTGATTCTTAAGTAGTGGCATTATAAGAAAATTTTACTTCTGTGTCTGTTTTTCAATATGTTTCAAATTGAAAAATTAAATGAGTTGTGAGATACTAAAATTAGTAGGTGATTCATGGCCTTTAAAACTTAATGGTACATTAGCTGGGGGCAATGGCTCACGCCTGCAATCCCAGCATTTTAGGAGGCCAAGGCAGGCAGATCACCTGAGGTCAGGAGTTCGAGACAAGCCTGGCCAACATTGTGAAACCCTGTCTGTACTAAAAATACATAAATTAGCCAGGTGTGGTGGCACGTGCATGTAATCTCAGCTACGTAAGCTGAAGCATGAGAACTGCTTGAACCTGGGAGATGGAGGTTGCAGTGAGCTGAGATCATGCCATTGCACTCCAGCCTGGGAGACAAGAGAGAAACTCCATCTTAAAAAAAACAAAAACAAATCTTAACGGTACATGGATGCCTGACATTATAAAGGGCAATTAGCCTCATGGAACTAACACATAAAGCCAGTCACTTTGGAGTCCATATCAGACACAATGCTTTCTGTGGTTCTTAATTAGTTACTGATTATTGTGATGATTATCAAAGGAACATCAAGTTTGAACAGAGTAAACTCATTTTAAATGTAGCTCATTGAATCATAGGTTGCTTAGAAGAAGATATAAATAGCCTCTCAAAGCATCTGCACATCCTATGATTATAGGCATATGTTTTCAAAAAGCCAATTATTTTGAGCCATTAAGCCATCTTATAGATTAATATTAAGAAATGATTCATCAATCCCTTTTCCTCTAGTCTGAACTTCCCCACAGAAGGGACCCACCATTCCTATCAACCCAGTATCAGTTATTACTCCATGACTCAACAATATCATCAATGATTTTGCTAGTAGCTATTTATAAGGTGGCACTATAGAAACACTACTCAATTAGTTCTAGGTTATTCTTTACCTTTCCTTCAATAATCCGATAAACTAAAGAATTCATATCTTTTGCATTGAAAGCATGCTTCAGGGTAGCCATTTCATAGACACAGCATCCTAGAGCCCAAACATCAGACTAAAAAATAAAAACAGTAAATGATTAAATGTCAGAATCATTTATTTACATTTTTTTCCTTTAAAAAAAGAAAACATTTTCCTTAAACAGATTCACAAATAATTCTCTGATGTAACTAATTTCTGAAATTATGAGTACTCTCCCAGAGACAAGGTGAGCCAGTATACAGAGCCCAGTCCTACCTTATAGTTGTAGGGTTTGTTTGAGAACAATTCAGGGCTCATGTAGTAGGGTGTGCCAATGAGGGTGCTAGCCATGTCACAGTGGTTCTCTAACACTCTGGCAATTCCTAGGTCCCCCACTTTGATGATGTTTGTTCTTGTTAGGAAGACATTTTGAGTTTTCAGATCTCGATGAAGGATGTGTTTTTCATGTAAATACTGAGGAAAGAAATAACATTTTATTACATATAAATAGACTTAATTACACATTTATTCCTGGCTTATTACATACCATCAGCAATAGCATGAGTTAGAGTCTTTGGCAATAAAGAGTAATTGACCATACATAGGCTGGGTACACTGGCTCACAGCTGTAATCCCAGCACTTTGGGAGGCTGAGGCGGGCAGATAACCTGAGGTCAGGAGTTTAAGACCAGCCTGATCAACATGGAGAAACTCCATCTTTACTAAAAATACAAAATTAGCCGGGCATGGTAGTGCATACCTGTAATCCCAGCTAAGGCAGAGGTTGCAGTGAGCCAAGATCACACCATTGCACTTCAGCCTGGGCAACAAAAGCAAAATTCGTCTCAAAAAAAAAAGAGTAAGCGACCATAAAGAGTAACCAACCATACAATTCTTTTATTCAACCAACACCTATCAAACATTATTGCTTTATAATCTCTAAATAAAAGGTCTAATTTATAATTTTTGAAATAAGAAAATTAAGTTCCCTAAATAAGAAAATTGACTTGCCCAGTGCCCCTCAAAACTGCTCCCTGGTAGCTTGACAACTATACCATTTTAGCATTACATAAATCGGGTTTAAAAATATGCTTATAGGCCAGGCACAGTGGCAGCCAGCACTGTGGGAGGCCAAGGTGGGTGGATCATTTGAGGCAGGCGTTCAAGACCAGCCTAGGCAACATGGCAAAACCACATCTCTACTAAATAAATACAAAAATTAGCTAGGTATGGTTGCATAGACCTACAATCCCAGCTACTCGGGAGGCTGAGGCACGAGAATCACTTGAACCTTGGAGGCAGAGGTTGCAATGAGCCATGATCGTGCCACTGCACTCCAGCCTGGGTTTCAGAGTGAGACTCCGTCTCGAAAAAAAAAAAAAAAAAAGCTTACAAACTCCCACTGAAGGTAGGACAACTTATACGGTCAGATGCAGTCCTCTCAGACCCATGAAATCCTCAGCTTAATAATATTTTCAAATATAGCAAGAGCATTTTTATTTAGAGAAAGTATCTTAGAATTTAAACAGGGTCAATTAATTCTGGACAAGTCTGCCCAGTTCCAAAATAGTATTTCATAAATAAGTCTCACTTTTGAGTTATATGTATATTAAAACACAAACTTGTAGGAATGCTTATTCCAGCTTATGGAATGACGTGTTGCCCAATTCTAAAAAATAAAAAAAAAGAAAACTTGTTTTGCATTTCCATCTGCTCTACCACAGCAGAGTGACAGATGAAATCACTGGGCATATTAATTAACCTAGCCGCATTTCAGCATGACATAGCTGACCAACAGATAACAAACAGAGTCACTCTTTGCTCTTGGTTGCCTCAGGGTCCTTCAAACTGACTTTGCTACTGATATTAAATGAGTGGGCTTCCCCTGCAATTAGACATGAAATCTATTTTAATATAGGTATCACTTGCTAGAAAAGTTCCAGTGCTACAGCAAAAGTGATTGGGTACATTTCTACACATAAGTATTTGAAGAAAACATTTTCCCAAAGTACACCTGCCATCTCCTTGCTATCTGGGAGCAAGCTGGGATGCCATTAGTCTACACAGTACCTGTAAAGCCATGGCGATCTGTACAAACCACTCTACCACCTGATTCTCAGGCAGAAGCTGCCCTTTCTGTTCCCTGAGCTTTCGGTACAGATCACCTCCTTCACAGAAGCCCATGACAATGTAGAGTAGACCGTCTCCTCCCTCCCATGACTCCTTGTAGGTGACAATGTTGGGATGCTTCAGCTGAGACAAGAGCTGGGCTTCCTGTTCAGCAGCTTGCCGCTCTCGGCTAGAGGCATTTCTGAGGTTCAGTTTTTTGATGACATACTAAAAAGAAAACACATATTTTACAATATACAAATAAACATAAGATTTGTGGCCTCAGAGTTACCTAAAGGCTCTCAAGAATATCCTCAAAACCTTATAAGCTTTATCAGGTTCTTATTAAAAAAAAAAAAAAAAAAGTAAAAAAAAAAAAAGAATATCCTCGAAACCAACCTTGTGGAGCCCATCAGATAACCTATTCATTTTGTTTTTCACCAAGCACAAAATCAGGCAAAATATTTGCTATTGTTCATTGTAGAAAGTAAAAAGTTCCTCCTCAAAGTTTCCCTTCTTGTTAAAGAATAATAGTAATAATAAATGTTAGAAGTAGTAGTTTCTTTTAAAGCCTTCTTGCTTTTTGCTAGTAACTCTTTGTTAAGCCCTATCCTATGTAGCTGTTAGATATAAGGGAATACATACATTTTATGTCCTCGTACTTTAACTAAGATATTTGTGCTGGACATGCTCACAGGCATGTCCCAGCTCACAGTCTATGCCCCTTCCTTATTTGGAAATGTTATTACTTTTCTAAGTCCTTTCGTAAGCAACTTTCTCTTTTTCTTCATTCTCCATTGTCTTTACCTATTTAAAAAATTTTAGGAGACAGATCCAAGATCGCCAATTAGGGGCAGCTCAGGATTGCAGCTCCCAGCGAAAGCACGGAGGGTGAGTAGACACCACATTTCCAGGTGGATTTTTATTGCCCAGAGACCAGGAGATTCCCAGGCAGAGGAGCCCCATGGGTTGCCAGCTTGGTTGTTTTGGCCAGCGCCGTGGCCCAGTGGTTCTCCATACAAAATACACAGGTCCAGGCACCGTTTTAGCTGGCAATTGGAGCTCCTGGGAGACAGAGTCACCCATTCAACTGATAAAAAAGGGGACTGAAACAGGGAGCCAGGCCAGGAGCTACCAGGGCAAAAAAAGTGCCATGAATCTCAGCGCGGCTGTTTCAGCTGGTGCAGTGGGTCGCCGCACGGGAAATCACACAGATCCCGGCGCCTTTTCAACAGGCGACTGGAACACCTGGGAGACAGAGTTGACCGTTCAACTTCAAAAAAAAAAAAGGGCTCTGAGGCAGGGAGCCAGGTGATCAAGCTCGGCTGCTCCCACCCCCACAAAAAAACAGCAATTGGAAACACTCTGGATTGAGAGTTTCATAGTAAGCACAGCTGAACCCGGGATGGTCCAGCTCTGTGGGGGAGGGGCGTCCACCATTATCGAGGCAGTCCACCACTATGGAGGTAGTCTGCCATTGCCGAGGCAGCCTGCCATTAAGAGAGAGTCCGCCACTATACAGGTGGACCGCCATTGTCAAGGCAGTTCTAACTATACCTGTATAAACAGGACTGCAGGAAGTTCACACGGCAGCTGGGCGGAGCCCAGAGCAGCTTACCAAAGCCTCTGCAGGCAGAGAGTGACTAGGCTGCCGCCTCACTGGGCAGGGAAGCCCTGAAAAAAGGCAGCAGCACAACAGAAACTCATAATTAAAACCCTAACTTCCCAGGACAAAGCACCTGGGGAAAAAAAAGGGGGGGTTTATGGGTTCTGCTGCAGCAGACTTAAACGTACCTGCCCAGCAGCTCTGAATGAACAATGGAGCTCACAGCTCAGCACTTGAGCTCCTATAAAGGACAACCTGTCTCCTCAAGCAGTTCCCTGACCCCCATATATCCAAAGAGTCACCTCATAAAGGAGAGCTCAGACTGACATCTGGCAGGTATCCTTCTGGGACAAAGATAGCAGAAGAAGAAACTGGCAGCAACCCTTACTGTTCTGCAACCGCTGCAGGTGATTCCCCAGGCAAGCAAGGCCTGGAGTGGACCTTGGCAGTCCTATAGCAGAGGGGCCTCACTGTTAGAAGGAAAACTAAGAATCAGAAAGAAATAACTTCATTATCAACAAGCTGGATGTCCACTCAGAGACCCAATCTGAAAGTCTACAACTATAAAGGCGACAGGTGGATAAATACACAAAGATGGGAAGAAACCAGTGCAAAAAGGATGAAAACACCTGAAATCAGAATGCCTCTCCTCCTACAAGGGATCACAACTCCTCACCAGCAAGGGAACAAGGCTGGATGGAGAATGAGTGTGATGAATTGACAGAATCGGGCTTCAGAAGGTAGGTAATAAGAAACTTCTGTGAGCTAAAAGAACATGTTCTAACCCAATGTAAAGAAACTAAAAACCTTGAAAAAATATTTGATGAAATGCTAACGAGAATAAACAGCTTAGAGAGGAAGATAAGTGAATTGACGGAGCTGAAAAACACATGAGAACTTCACAAAGCATGCACAAGTTTCAACAGCTGAATTGACCAAGCAGAAGAAAGGATATCAGAGGTTGAAGATCAACTCAATGAAATAAAACGAGAAGACAAGATTAGAGAAAAAAGGATGAAAAGGAATGAACAAAGTCTCCAAGAAATATGGGACTATGTGAAAAGACCTAATCTACGTTTGATAGGTGTACCTGAATGTGACGGAGAGAATGAATCCAAGTTGGAAAATACTCTTCAGGATATGATCCAGGAAAACTTCCCCAACCTAGCAAGGCAGGCCAATATTCAAGTCCAAGAAATACAGAGAACACCACAAAGATATTCCTCAAGAAGAGCAACCCCAAGGCACATAATCGTCAGACTCACCAGGGTTGAAATGAAGGAGAAAATGCTATGGGCAGCCAGAGAGAAAGGTCGGGTCACCCACAAAGGGAAGCCCATCAGACTCACAGCAGATCTCTCAGCAGAAACCCTACAAGCCAGAAGAGAGTGGGGGCCAATATTCAACATCCTTAAAGAAAAGAACTTTCAACCCAGAATTTCATATCCAGCCAAACTAAGCTTCATAAGTGAAGGAAAAATAAAATCCTTTGCAAACAAGCAAGTACTCAGAGATTTCATCACCACCAGGCCTGCTTTACAAGACTCCTGAAAGAGGCACTAAACATAGAAAGAAACAACCAGTAGCAGCCACACCAAAAACATACCAAATGGTAAAGAGCATCAACACAATGAAGAAACTGCATCAACTAACAGGCAAAACAGCCAGCTAGCATCAAAATGGCAGGATCAAATTCACACATAACAATATTAACCCTAAATGTAAATGGGCTAAATGCCCCAGTCAAAAGACACAGACTGGCAAACTGGACAAAAAGCCAAAACCCATTGGTGTGCTGTATCCAGGAAACCCATCTCACGTGCAAGGATACACAAAGGCTCAAAATAAAGGGATGAAGAAAGATTCACCAAGCAAATGGAGAGCAAAAAAAAGCAGGAGTTGCAATTCTCATCTCTGATGAAATAGACTTTAAACCAGCAGAAATCAAGAGACAAAGAAGGACATTACATAATGGTGAAAGGATCAACACAACAAGAAGAGCTAACGATCCTAAATATATACGCACCCAATACAGGAGCACCCAGATACATAAAGCAAGTTCTTAATGACTTACAAAGAGACTTAGACTCTCACACAATAATAGTGGGAGACTTTAACACCTCATTGTCAATATTAGACACATCAACGAGACAGAAAATTAACAAGGATATCCAGGACTTCAACTCAGACATGGACCAAGCAAACCTAATAGACATTTACAGAACTCTCCACCCAAAATCCACAGAATATACATTCTTCTCAGCACCACATCACACCTACTCTAAAATTGACCGCATAATTGGACGTAAATCACTCCTCAGCAAATGCAAAAGAACGGAACTCATAACAAACAGTCTCTCAGACCACAGTGCAATCAAGTTAAAACTCAGAATTGAACTAACTCAGAACTGCACAGCTTCATGGACACTGAACAACTGGCTCTTGAATGCTGACTGGATAAACAATGAAATGAAGGCAGAAATAAAGATGTTCTTCGAAACCAACGAGAACGAAGACACAACATACCAGAATCTCTGGAACACATTTAAAGCAGTGTCTAGAGGAAAATAAATGCCCACATGAGAAGCAAAGAAAGATCTAAAATTGACACCCTATCGTCAAAATTGAAAGATCTAGAGGAGCAAGATAAAAAAAAAACTCAAAACCTAGCAGAGGACAAGAAATAACTAAGAACAGAGCAGGACTGAAGGAGATAGAGACACAAAAAGTCATTCAAAAAAATCAATAAATCCAAGAGCTGGTTTTTCAAAAAGACAAAATAGACCACTAACCAGATTAATAAAAAAGAAAAGAGAGAATAATCAAATAGATGCAATAAAAAATGATAAAGGGGATATCACCACAGATTCCACAGAAATACAAACCATCATCAGAGATTATTACAAACAACTCTATGCACATAAACTAGTAAACCTGGAAGAAATGGATAAATTCCTGGACACTTGCATCCTCCCAGGCCTAAACCAGGAAGAAGTCAAAACCCTGAATAGACCAATAACAAGGTCTGAAGTTGAGGCAGCAATTTAGAGCCTACCACCCAAAAGAAAGCCCAGGTCCAGATGGGTTCACAGCCAAATTCTACCAGACATACAAAGAGGAGCTGGTACCATTCCTTCTGAAACTATTCCAAACAATCCAAAAAGAGGGAATCCTTCCCAAATCATTTTATGAGACCAACATCATCCTGACACCAAAACCTGGCAGAGTATCAGCAAGAAAAGAAAACTTCAGGCCAATATCCATGATGAATATAGTTGCAAAAATCTTCAATAAAATACTGGCAAACTGATTGCAACAGCACATCAAAAAGCTTATCCACCATGATCAAGTAGGCTTCATCCTGGGGATGCAAGGCTGGTTCAACATACGCAAGTCTATAAACGTAATTCACCACATAAACAGAACCAAAGACAAAAACCACGTGATTATCTCAATTGATGCAGAGAAGGCCTTTGACAAAATTCAACAGCCCTTTATGCTAAAAACCCTCAATAAACTAGGTATTGACGGAACATATCTCAAAATAATAAAAGCTATTTCTGACAAACCAACAGCCAATATCATACTGAATGGGCAAAACTGGAAGCATTCCCTTTGAAATCTGGCACTAGACAAGAATGCCCTCTCTCACCACTCCTATTCAATATAGTATTGGAAGTTCTAGCCAGAGCAATCAGGCAAGAAAAAGAAATAAAGGATATTCAAATAGGAAAGGAGGAAATCAAATTGTCTCTGTTTGTAGACGACATGACTGTATATCTACAAGACCCCCTTCATCTCAGCCCAAAATCTCCTGAAACCGATAAGCAACTTCAGCAAAGTCTCAGGATACAAAATCAATCTGCAAAAATCACAAGCATTCCATACACCAATAACAGAGAGAGCCAAATCAAGAATGAACTGCCATTCACAACTGCTACAAAGAGAATAAAATACCTAGGAATACAACTAACAAGGAAGGTAAAGGACCTCTTCAAGGAGAACTACAAACCACTGCTCAATGAATTAAGAGAGGACACAGACAGATGGAAAAAACATTCCATGTTCATGGAATCAATATTGTGAAAATGGCCATACTGCCCAAAGTAATTTACAGATTCAATGCTGTCCCCATCAAGCTACCAATGACCTTCTTCACAGAACTGGAAAAAACCACCTTAAACTTCATATGGAACCAAAAGAGAGCCTGCATAACCAAGTCAATTCTAAGCAAAAAGAACAAAGTGGGAGGCATCACACTACCAGACTTCAAACTATAGTACAAGGCTACAGTAATCAAAACAGCATGGTACTGGTAACAAAACAGAGATATAGACCAATGGAACAGAACAGAGGTCTTGGAGGCAACACCACACATCTACAACCATCCAATCTTTGACAAACCCAACAAAAACAAGCAATGGGGAAAGGAGTCCCTGTTTAATAAATGGTGTTGGAAGAACTGGCTAGCCATGTGCAGAAAGCAGAAACTGGACCCCTTCCTGACACCTTACACTAAAATTAACTCCAGATGGATTAAAGACTTAAACATAAGACCTAACACCATAAAAACCCTAGAAGAAAACCTAGGCAAAACCATTCAGGACATAGGTGTAAGCAAGGACTTCATGACCAAAACACCAAAAGCATTGGCAACAAAAGCCAAAATCAAACTCCACAACTTCTGCACAGCAAAAGAAACAGTCATTAGAGTGAATCAGCAACCAACAGAATGGGAAAAAATTTTTGCAATCTACCCATCTAACAAAGAGCTGATATCCGGAATCTACAAAGAACTAAAACAGATTTACAAGAAAAAAACAAACAAGCCCATTCAAAAGTGGGCAAAGGATATGAACAGACACTTTACAAAAGAAGACATACATGAGGCCAACAAACATATGATAAAATGCTCATCATCACTGCTCATTAGAGAAATGTAAATCAAAACTACATTGAGATACCATCTCATGCCAGTTAGAATGGCGATCATTAAAAATTCTGGAGACAACAGATGCTGGAGAGGATGTGGAGAAATAGGAACACTTTTACACTGTTGATGGGAGTGTAAATTAGTTCAACCATTGTGGAAGACAGTGTGGTGATTCCTCAAGGACCTAGAAATAGAAATCCCATTACTGGGTATATAACCAAAGGACTATAAATCGTTCTACTATAAGGACACATGGACACGAATGTTCACTGCAGCACTGTTTACAATAGCAAAGACCTGGAACCAACCCAAATGCCCATCGATGATAGACTGGACAGGGAAAATGTGGCACATATACACCATGGAATATTATGCAGCCATCAAAAACGATGAGTTTGTGTCCTTTGTAGGGACATGGGTGAACCTGGAAACCATCATTCTCAGCAAACTGACACAAGAACAGAAAATCAAACACCACATGTTCTCACTCATAGGTGGGTGTTGAACAATGAGAACACATGGACACAGGGAGGGGAGCATCACACACTGGGGTCTGTTGGGGGGAAATAGGGGAGGGACAGCAAGGGGTGGAGAGTTGGGGAGAGATAGTATAGGGAGAAATGCCAGATATAGGTGATAGGGAGGAAGGCAGCAAATCACACTGCCATGTGTGTACCTATGCAACAATCTTGCATGTTCTTCACATGTACCCCAAAACCTAAAATGCAATTTAAAAAAAAGGAATAAACATAAGGTGAAGGCATGAAAACAAAAAAAATAAAATAAAAATTTAAGTTGTTAGCCAATTGGGTTTAGCTTAGACTGTGAGGTCCAGCTCCAACTAATGGAGATAAGACAGAGCAGTAAGGACCCAATACAGTAAGAAATTAATATTCCTTTGTTCATTGTGCTCTTGTAGCAGGATTGCTGATGCGTAGTACCTTTTCTGCAGAAAGTAAAATTGCCTTGCTGAGAGATCCTTTGTCTCAGTGCTGATTTTTCTTTGTGCCACCAAGCACCTCTTTCCAACATTCATACTTCTTAGGAGTTAGATTTACAGCAGTCTAAGGCCACAAAAAATTACCTTTTCCATCTGCATTTCACAATTTCATTAATAACTAAAAAAGGGAGTTCAAAATAACATGCCATTGGATCAATCATAAAACCTGTGTTAGAAATTCCTTAATACCTGGCTGGATGTGGTAGCTCACACCTGTAATCCCAGCACTTTGGGAGGGTGAGGCAGGTGGATCACCTGAGGTCAAGAGTTCAAGACCAGACTGGCCAACATGGTGAAACCCTGTCTCTACTAAAAATACAAAAACACTTGGTGTGGTGGTCTGCACTTGTTGTCCCAGCTACTTAGGAGGCTGATGCAGGAGAATCACTTGAACCCAGGAGGCAGAAGTTGCAGCACTGAGTCGACATCACGCCACTGCACTCCAGCCTGGGAAACAGAGCAAGACTCTATCTCAAAAAAAAAAAAAAGAAAGAAAAAAGAAATTCCTTACTATCTCAGCTCCCCCAAAAAGGTGCATAAAATATGGCATGAATATATATTTGCAGACAGAATGGTCTATGAATTACATTAGATACTAAAAGGACCCATGGCCCACTAAGTTTAATAGTCACTGATCCTCAACATACAAAATTATTCACACTTAAAAGAAATCAACAGTCTCTAACACCTAATACATTGCCCTCAATCAAGTCAAAGACCATAAAATTCATTTCTTCAACAAACACATACATAGATGTGCTTTGTGAAGTGTAAACTAAAGCTCAGATAACTAGCTATCTGCTAGTTCCCTATTATCAGCCCCAAAATCCCATGATCCCCCAATGCCTGCTGAATAAATCTCTTATGCATGAGCTTGTGTTCCAGACAGAGCAATCAGAACCAGAGACAAGGAAGAACAGACAATTGGGCCCTATATTTAGGGGAGACATCTCTCAGCTTGCCTGGAGCCTTTCAGTTTCAAAATTGTCCCAGTTTGTACAATACATTACATTGTCACCCTATTAATAAACCACATCGAAGAATTGATTCATTATCCTGAGGGTAATGGGATAAAGTGTTTTAAACAAAGGAGGAGTAACAACATCAGATTTAAATTTTAGAAAGATCACTGAGGCTGCAATGAAAGTGATGGATTGGAGAAAAGCAAGTCAAGCGGCCGCAACCAGTTGGGAAACCGTGGCCATAACTTAGCTACAGAAAACAGGGTGTGCTGGATTGGGGCGGTACCAGCAGAGATGAGAGTAAGCCTATTGTCTTAGTGATAGATGGATATAATCAGTGTTGGGGTGCGTGGGGAGGCTTAAAAATGATTCCCAGGAGTCCGGCTGGGGAACTGGTGGGTTGCTGGCGCTCTTCACTAAAATGGAAGACCTAAGAGAAGGTTTGACGGAAGTTTTAAGTGAGTCCAGCAGTCTACAGTAGAGATGTTTGGGGCCCTTCATTCACGAAATCATGCTTGCTAGGCGCTGTATTAAGTCCTGGGAATGCATGGTCCCTGTCTGTTCTCATGAGATTATCGGAGGTGGGAGAAAGATGTGTAGATCAAGCATGCCAGTTAATACAACAAAGAGGTAGATAAGCAGACACTGAAAATGTTTACATAAAACCAAGAATCGTAATAAAAGAAAATGAAAATTAAAAGGAAAAAATTTTAATACAACAAAGAAGTAGAAGAAGTTTGGGGCGCATATTACAGGGAGGCCTGGCCTGGTGTTGGTCTGGGACCATTTCCCTGAGGAAACGCCATCCGAGATGAGCCCCTTGCGACCACCCCTGACCTAATCTACCGGAGGGCGCCCTCGGCGCCCCTCTGCCCGCCCCCGCCCCTTACTGGGCCGCACCGCTGCAGACCTGCTTGCCGTCCCGCCGGTGCTTCACAAGTGTCACCTCTCCGTAGCTTCCCTTGCCCACGACCCGCAGGTAGCAGTAGGAAGCCAGAGGCATGTTCCCAGCGGGGACCCAGAGTCGGGATGCAGGGGCAACGGCGGGTATGGCAGCGGGAGGCAGCAGAAGGCGCGGTTCATGCCCGAGAGGCGGCAGGAGGGGCAGCTATTGAGGCAGCTGCGCCTGGGCAGGAGCGCGGTGGCCGGGCCCAAGAAGACGCCGCTACCATAGCGATCGCGGCCGGGAGCAGTCCTGCGCATGCTCCTGCGTCCCTGAAGCACCGCCATAGAGCGGACGTCACGAGCGGCCAGAGTGGTTCCACCGCCCCGGGAGGACCCGCCATAGAACTCAGGCTCCAGGAAGCCAGAGCGACTCCGCCAGGCCCCGCGCACTTTCTGTGCGTCTGTTCCACCGTGGGTACCCGCCGCAGCAGAGTTGGGGAAGCTTCCTCTTTTTGTGCACTTGTTTGCCCTAAGCCCGTTAAAGTATTGTTCGTTCATTCTACAAATATTTTTTGACCGCCTATGTGCCAGGGCCGACAAAGTCGCTGCCCTCCTCGAGTTCATGTTTTAGTCATTGGGTGACAGACTTTTTTTTTAAAGAGACGGCGTTTCACTATGTTGGCCAGGATGGTCTCGAACGCCTGACTTCGTGATCCTCCCGCCTCGGCCTCCCAAAGTGCTGAGATTGCAGGCGTGAGCCACCGCTCCCGGATGGGTGACAAACTCTCTACCAGTAACATTTGCTGTGTCCGCATTATCACGTGCCGTCCATGAATCCAGCAGGCCATCCTCCTTTTTTATACAAAGTAAATTGGAGATATTAGTACCTTTCATACATGAAAACTTTCCCCTGCTAATTGAGAACTGCAGAGAACCCTCAGCATTTAACGACTGCCCGAACCACTGCACTAAGAGACTTGACTAAACTCTAGCATGGATTCATGCTCAGTTAACAGCCTAAGACCTGATCTCTAGGGGGACCTAGGCCCCTTTAAAATGCCTGCAAGAGAAAGCTCAGGGGTGCCAAAAGAATTCACCACTCGTTTCAGCCAATGCCTCCCTTTCCTAGAGCGCTTACTCTCTCTCTTTTTTTTTTTTTTTTTTTTTGACAGGGTCTCACCCTGTCACCCAGACTGGAGTGCGGTGGTGCAATGGTGCTCACTGCTGTCTAGACCTGCTGAGCTCAAGCCATCCTCCCAACTACAGGCACACCCCTCCATGCATGGCTAGTTCTATTTTATTTTTTTAGAGTCAGGTCTCACTATGTTGCCCAGACAGGTCTTAAACTCCTGGGCTCAGGCAATCCATCCACGTTGGCCTCCCCAAATGCTGATATAACAGGCGTGGCCATCGTGCCTGGCCTCCTTCCTTTTTATAGCCAAGTAGTATTCCATTATATGTATATACCACAATTAGTTTATCCATTCATGCAGTCATGAACACGGATAGCTTCCACCTTTTGGCTATTATGAATAATTCTGCTGTGAACATGGGTGTATAAATATCTGTTGGAGTTCCTGCTCTCTTTTTAATTCATTTGGGTATACACTCAGAAGTGAAATTGCTGGATCATATGGTAATTCTAGTTTAATGTATTGAGAAATCACCATACCATTTTTCACAGCAAGCTGAACCATTTGACATTCCCATTAGCAATCCACAAGAGTTCAAATTTCTCCTCATCCTTAATCTACATCTTGATAGGAGTTTTGAGTGTATGAATTTGTATCTAATGGTACGTTTAATATTTGCACATTTTACTCAAAGAATTTCATCTTCACTAGAAAACCAAACAAAGATGACCATAAGTAAAGATTGAACTCAAGTTAATGATATTATTAAAGATAAACAAAGCCAAGCATTAAAGTGGTGAAAATAGATTTTATTCAGTAACTACTGACAGTAGGGAAAGAGCTGAACGCCATTCCATTTGTGCAGTGGTGATTGGGTGTTCCAAAGGAAGAATAAGGGAGTAGAAGGGGCAGTGAGCAAGGGCTCACTTAGAGTCTGGGAAATGAGAAATTCAAAGTATTGGTTAGCATAAATGTCATTAGGCCAACTTGTCTGCTAGCTGGCAGTTAGGGAAGTCAGGATTCTATCTTCCCACATAGACTGGGAGACATGAGCCCTACCTTTCTAATGATTACATTTCAGAGGAATGGATTTCAGGTCATTGAGAAAGACATTCCTAGGTTGTAGAAAATACGGAGGTATATAGCTCACAGGGACCGAGGAAGGATTTATAATTGTAAAATTGTAAGTTGTTTTTTTTTTTTTTTTTTTTTTTTGAGGCGGAGTTTTGCTCTTGTTGCCCAGGCTAGAGTGCAATGGCATGATCTCGGCTCACTGCAACCTCTGCCTCCCGGGTTCAAGCGATTCTCCCGTCTCAGCCTCCTGAGTAGCTGGGATTACAGGCATACACCACCATGGCTAGCTAATTTTGTATTTTTAGTAAAGATGGGGGATTTCTCCCTGTTGGTCAGGCTGGTCTCGAACTCCTGATCTCAGGTGATCCACCCACTTCAGCCTCCCAAAGTACTGGGATTACAGGCGTGAGCCACTGCCCCTGGCCAGTTGTAAGTTTTTTAAAGTGCATGCTACATCATGGATGATCCTTGAATATATTATGCTAAACAAAATAAGGCAGTCACAAGAGGACGAAAGTATGATTTCACTTATGTAAGGTACATGTAGTAGTCAAAATCGTAGATTCAGAAAGTAGAATGGTGGCTGCCAGTGGCTGGGGGAGGAAGGAGTTGGAGATTGGTGTTTAATGAGTGCAGAGTTTTAATTGGGAACAATGAAAAAGTCCTGGAGATGGATAGTGGTGATGGCTACACAACACGAATGTACTTACGCCACTGAACTGTATTCTTAAAAATGGTTAACTAAAATGTTTCATGTTTTGTATATTATGCCACAAAAAATTGTAGCACACTGCTCTTGTAATCCCAGCTACTTAGGAGGCTGAGGCATGAGAATCATGTGAACCCAGGAAGTGGAGATTGCATTGAGCTGAGATCGTGCCACTACACGCCAGCCTGGGCGATAGAGTGATACTCTTTTTTAATAAATAAATAAATAAATAAATGTATCATTCCTTCTACAGACATTTAGCAAGGGTCTACTAGCCTGGCCCTGGAGGACAAATGTGAGCAAGATAAACAAGGGCCTGCCCCTGTGGGGCTTACAGTCGAAGCGGGAGATGGCCATTAGTCAACAAAGCATAGTTATAAGTTACCCTTGCCAATGGAGGTCAGTACTGTGCAGAAAAGCCGCCAGGCCCAGCCTGGCCATCCAAGGGAGGTTGCCCCAAACAAGCACCACATGAGTGGAAGTTTAAAGAAAAACTTTTTCAGGCAAAGGAGCAACATATGTTAAGACCCAATGGACTCATTTTGGATCTTTACCTCCACACCTCAGTGTAAACTCCCGAGGACTGGGCCAAGCCTGTCTGCTTCAATACCCTAAGCCAGCAGGTGTACATGAAGGAACTGGGGGTGGCTGAATAGATGAGTGGAAAAGCACCTGCCTACCTGGATCTAGAAGTCTCTGTAGTTGAAGCTGAGAGATTCAGAGAGGCCAAGGGCTAGGTGACATAGAGGGGTCAGCAGGGGTCATACCACTCAGGACAGGGTGTGTGAGACACGGAAAGGCCTGCAGCAGACTGTCCTTTCTAAATGGCGACTCTGGCTGCTGCCTGGAGCAGAGCGGAAGGAGGGGATCAGCCATCTAAGTGAGGGATGAGGGCGGCTGGAACTAGGTGGTGACTGGGAACAGGGAGAGAAGTGAATGGACTGGAGGGATATTCAGAGGGTAGAAGATGGGGTAGGTGATCAAGGAGAGAGAGGAACCCAGGATGCCACCCAGCCTTCTGGCTTAGATGGCTGGATGGATGGCAGTGGCCTTCACTGGAGTGGACAACAGGGGGAAGACTTGGCTTAGTAGTGGGGTGTGGGGAGGGGAAGACCAAAGGCCAGGAGTTCAGTTTGGACACACCAGATGGAGAGGCTCTGGGCACTCAAGCAGACAGCTGGCTGTGTGTGGGTGGAGCTCAGAACAGCTCTGGGTCCATGTGCTGTCCCGCCAGCACCAGCAGCACAGCTATCCTCCCCATTCTCCATCCTCAGCAACCATACCTACTTTCTGTCCACCCTGGCCCCTACCTCCCACATGCATAGGGTGGGCCAATTTCTTCTCTTCCTCTGTACCATGAGGATAATATGAATAATATCTGTCTCTTGGGGGAAGTTGTGAGCAGTAAATGAATTCAGACACAAACGATGCCGGGAAGCATGACAGGTGCCGGTCATAGTTAACTCTCCCCATCTCCTGTCCACCCTCCCCTGTGCAAACATGCTTCCAGCACTTCACATGGACGGGGCCTGCTGCTAGCCACCTCTCAACAGCCCAGCCTTGAACTCATCACGCCCTTGCTCAAAAGATCTTTAGTATCTCCCACCCAAAAGGCTAATCACTTTCAGATCCCTGTGCCAGCTGGTCCCAAACCCCTTCCCAGCCACCTACACCCTCTTCATCATTTCCTGCTCCCATCACCCAGACACCTCCACCTTCCCCAAGCACACACCCCACTTGCCCATCTGCTTTTCTCTCCTCCCTTCACACTGTCCCCTTGCCAAGCACTGCTCTTCTTTCCAGGCACCTCATCCAGGAACCTTTTCCTAATCCCTGTGGGAGATGAGCTCCGCCCCTCCAAATTTCTACCTCTCCAGTTTCTCACCACTCCTTGGGATTCAGTGGGCTCCCTTTGACTTGTCTGATTCCCTTTTCCCCTGACGTCAGCTCATTGAACACAGCAGGGCACCAAGTTTCTGCATGGTGGCGAGTCCCAATGCCTGGCATTGTGCCCAACAGCTCATTGAACACAGCAGGCACCAAGTTTCTGCATGATAGCGAGTCCCAGTGCCTGGCATTGTGCCCAACGCACTGCAGGGCTCGGTCAATACTGGCGCAGGAAATAAGCAGAACTTCAAATGTACAGTGTCATGTCGATCCCGCTCCTCTTCCGCAAAGGCTAGAAAACAGGCCAGAAAGTGACCCTGGTCTAAGGACAATAAACCCTTCCCAGAAGCTGCTCTGTGAGACAAAGTCCAGGACAAGCCAACAGAGATCAGTGAGGCTCCCGGGCCCCTCCTCTTTTCAGGGCCACAGCAGCCAGTACATCCCACCTGAATCACAGACTAGACTGGCCAGGGCCCTGTCTGCCCTGTATGCTCTGGCTCGTGGGGAACAGGGTGGGGTTGGGCATAAA